AGCATTTCGGGAAAGATTTGTGACAGCACTTGGATGACCTTGGCAAAAGAGTTACTATTAGGGGTGGACGCGGTCCGGTTCGGTCCGGTTCTTACCTCAAACCGGAACCGGAATTGATACTATTTAACCGGTCCGGTTTAGGCCAAAAAAAATTCAAAAACTGACCGGTTTGGTTCTGACCGGTTCCGGTTTTGAATAGGATTATTAATTTTTTATTTTTTATTTTTTTTAAATTAAAAAATTATAATAAATAATTTATTTTTTTGGCTTAAAAATTAACAAATAATCCAATTCATACATTTAGAAATTTTTTCAAGTTGAACTTCGAAAAATAGTGATTATAACATTTAAAATATGGCATTAGATTTTAAAATTTTGTAAAAATAAAAATATATATATGACCGGTCCGGTTCGGTGCGGTGGGGTGTAAAACCGAAACTGGTTCGGTCCGGTTCCAGTCCGATTTGTTGACTTTTTTGGTCTACCGGTTTTTTTTCACCGGTTCGGTTCGGTGTTCCGGTTTTCCGGTCCCGATGCCCACCCCTAGTTACTATTATTCGGAATAATGATAGACGGAAAGTTATCGTCTCCCTTTAGTTAAGTTGGTGGTGCGTGTTTCTAGCAAGTCCTAAAATGTTATTTTCTTTTTATTAAAGTAAATTTCAACTTGTTTCAGGCAAAATTTACATATATATTGGTATATATGTTATAAAACTAGAGGGAAAATGTGAGAGAAATAAGAGAAAGGAAAAAACGAGAATTTGTTCTCTGACCTTGTATCAACTTATCTTATTTATCTTTAATAAGCACCTATTTATAGGCTTACAATAGAAGTATTTAACTCACAATTTATAGCTACTAATTATAATAATAAGAGCATAGGTTATTAAAAAAAATAAAAATTCAGAGCTTAGTTAGTCAAAAAGATCAAAATTCATAGCTTACTTAGTCGAGGGCATTAACCTCCGGTGATTTGTGTGAAAGAGAAACCGAATTTATTATTATAAAAGCTAGACAGTAGTTCTGCATCCGCATTAAGAGCAAGAAAGAGGAACAATAGACAAAGAAAACTAAAGAGATCAAAACCTAAGTTCGTAATATTTATCCATTTCACTAAAAAGTAGTCATTTTTTTGTGTTTTTATGCGGTTATTCGTTTTTTTTCATTTTTGTGTTTTTCTTCATTTGACTAAATTCTTTTTCCTTTGTTAGTTGCATCATGTGGTTTGGCTCCTTAAAATTAAGGAGGAGCATATCTTAATTAACAACAACTGAGATTTCGACATTGTTAAAGTTCAAAAGAATAAAAGATTAAAAGAATTTTAAAAAAATTTAAAGGAATTTTTAAAGTGTCAAAACTCTGTTTGTTAATTTTTCTGAAATTTGACGACTTATTTTTCTTTTAATACTCAACAACTTGCGGCACTTCTACTATAACATCATATTATAGTAGTGACCTAAGGCAGTAACAAAATCGATGACGTTGAACGACTTTATCACTTGTGCAAAGTCGTGGAGCTGAGTATATATGTACAAAAAAGAATAAAATGTTTTAGTTTGAAGCCACAATTTCTTTCGGTACATACGCTAATGATATTCCATACATTTATTCACGACTTTGGATAAACTATGGTAACGGGGGATGCTTCATTGGAGAAAATAATAATAATTAGTGGCAAACACAAAATTGGCACTTATACGTGTCTGTTATGGGCATAGTGGAAAATGTCAAAACATATACTCGGGGTCTTTGGGGACTATTATTTTTTTGGTTTTCATGATTAAGTATAAATTATTTCCAAAGTATAAAATTCGTAGAATTCATATTTTGAAGTTGGATCCAAGGTGAAAGTGAAACATAGCATATGGTACTGCCCTAGGTTTGAAATTGGTACTTAGGTGACGAGGGATAAATTTAAATGCTATTCAAACAAACACAACAATATTCACACACTTCAAAACTTGACTAAGTATAATTATGACTGGTCAACTGATTAGTCATGAAAAACCATAACCAAGAACACACACACATAGAGCAATCTGTACCTGCAAGCCTAGAAGAGTACTAGTAACAACCTAAGCACTCAGAAGGACCCGTCAATCTAGGCATCCCTTGTGTTAGCAACAACTATGGTGAAAGTGTATGAAAACATCATAATCAAATAAACAGCACACAGCAAATAATGATGACTAGTCAACCGCAAGAACACAAACCCATAAATGCATGAATATCATGCGATGACTAGTCAACTATCAAGAACACATCATAATCAAATAAACAGCACACAACAAATAATGCTGACTAGTCAATGGCAAAAACACAAACTTAGAAATGCATGAACATCATGCAATGACTAGTCAACTATCAAGAACACAAACCCAGAAAATAACAAAGCAACAAACCAAAAATTGTTCACCTAAAAACCCACCTCTGGAAAAAACTAGGGATCATCAACCGACCAAAATTCAGAACTTAGTTAGTCAAAAGATCAAAATTCAGAGATTACTTAGTCGAGGGCATTATCCCCCGGTGATTTGTGTAAACAGGAAACCAAATTTATTATTATAAAAGCTAGACAATAGTTATGCATCTTCATTAAGAACAAGAAAGGAGGAATAGCAATAGACAAAAAAACTAAAGAGATCAAAACCTAAGTCCGCAATATTTATCCATTTGATTAAAATGTAGTCATTTTTGTGTTTTTATGCGGTTATTCGTTTTTCTTCATTTTTGTCCTTTTATGAGGTTATTCTTTTTCCTTTGTTAGTTGCAACACGTGATTTGGCTCTTTAAAATTGACGAGGATCATATCCTAATAACAACTGAGATTTTGACATTTGTTAAAGTTTAAAAGAAAAAAAAATTAAAAGAATTCTAAAATAAATTAAATAAATTTTCAAATGCCAAAACTCTATTTGTTTTTAGTCCTTTAATTTTTTTTTTATTTGACGACTATTAAAATCATAGGTTTAAAAAATATATATCCTTTTCAATTTTAAGAATCCAAGCAATTTTTAAAGCAATGCTCACCAACTTACATTAAATAATCATTAAAACTGCCATGTGCATGATATTCATATGTTACAATCAAATATGACAATGGCCAGTCTGCCCAGCAAACAGGCATAATTGATCAAAAGTCACCCTTCAGTTCTTTTAATAAGAAGGGTTCTCGATTTTAATAGTCATTTTTTCACATGTTTTGGAGAATGAACTTTGTGAAAAACATAAAATTATATGAACATGTAAAAAATATAAAATGATATGAACATGTGTGTGTAAACACGAAAATCTTGCGACAAATGAGATAAGAATACGTGTACAAAATAATATTTGTATTTATGAAATTTATGGTTACAATCTCTATATTGAATCCTCTGATTCGATCTCCAAAGTGTTTAAAGAAAATTTGTGTTTGATACAAGGGTTGTAGAGACTTGATCTTGATCAAACGGGTAGCATAAGGCTTGTTTGGTGTTTGGAATTTCTAGGGTGGAGGAACCGGCATGTATTTGTTGTGCTTGGTTGGTCTTCCAAAGTGAGGTGAAGGATGCAGAGAGTTTTATGTTTCTTCTGAATGCTTGGACTGTCTAAGCCTCTTTCTTTTCGTCTTGAAGCCTCCTATTTATAGGCTAATCCAGGATGCTTGACCTAAATAACTTTCCCTCTTTAAAACCTTCCTTTGTGGAATTCTGATTTGATTTTAAAATCAATTCCAATAATTTGGAAATTTAACCAAATTATCTTCGATTGATTGACTTGATTAATATTTGATTTAAATCAAAGTCTATCACGGAAGATTCTTTCCCTTAATTTTGTCTTCACTTTGAACTGCTTGATGCACTCCGTCGGATGTCGACACGTGTCACTTTTGACAACTAATCTGATTTTGATGATTCATATGCCACATGGGCGAATTATGGGGCCCCCAATTTAATCCACCAAACCCTAATTATTTTCTTATTTAGTGGAATTTAATTCGCCAAAATTCTTTGTCTACAAATTGCCCCCACTTCATGATGCACTGTAGATATGTGCTTTGTCCCATGTAGGAGGTGCAGCTTGAAATGTTACTTCTTCATTTCTTTCCAATAATTTGGATTGCTTCCAACATGGAGTTTTGAAAGTTACCCTTTTTTTTTTTTCGGGTATGTGTGGAATCGTGTATGAGATGACATTCATCCTTTGGTTATGTCCATGCTCCCTTCATGGTACTGTAGGTGTGGTTGGCAAGACTCCAATCATGGCATGGTAAGCTGATGTTTTTATTATTAGCTTAATAACATTCCATATTGATCACTCTATTTCCAACGTTGGCTTTCTACTTTCAACGTTTTTTTTTTTGGGGTGATATTATTAAGCTTAATAATATCCAATATTGGTAAGATCTTGGGAAGCAAGATACAAAATCCAATACTTTCCTAAACTAGGAATAAGAAACCCTAACACCTGTTCACCGTTTCGTGTTTACTCCTGAGATGGAAAGGTAAAGTTCTCCATTGCCTTGGACAGCGGTGGATCAAGGAATTTTTCAACGGAGGTGCAATTCTTAAAAGCTAAAAGCTCCACAAAAAAATAAAAAATAAAAAATATGCATCCGACTTACTTTGTATTAGCGTACTCAAGAAGGAAAAAAAAACACAGGACTCTTGTGATGCACACACACTTTGAGTGATGTTAAATTGGTTTTTTATAAAGAGAATTTTCAATCCCACTTAAATAAGGAATTTCCAAAACCCAATTGAATAAGAGAAGTTTCAATTAAAACCTAGGTAGGAATTATATAAGCCCCTTAGAATAGAAGCCCACGAATGCCCAGCAGTTTCCCTTTTTTTTTATCTTTTATCTTTTTTTTAAAACCCTTATTTAAATTGGCTTATCCATGACCATGAACAAATGGCCCACGAATGGCCAGGTTTGTTTTCTTTAAACCCTTATCCATGAATGGCCCACGAATGGCTAGGTTTTATTTTTTTTAAAGCAGCGCCTGGTCCAAAACGATGTCGTTTTGGCCAGGCAGTTTTTTTTTAAAAAAAGAGAAGTCGCGCGCTGCACACAGCGCGCAGCAGCACAGCAGCCCTTCATTTGCACATTTCATCGAACACCTTCCGTGCATGAGGAGAGGTGCAACTTCAGCAGCTTCTATGGAGTTTTCCGGCGACCGGTGGTGCAGGTGCACCTCCTTGCGCCTGCACAGGTCTGTCACTGGCCTTGGAAACCATAGGCTGCTCAACAAGTCAGCTTTCTTTGGTGTATGAGCGTGCCACTGCTAGCAATGAAAATTCTAGCAGACTTCTTCTAGAATAGATAACTTGCGCCCTAAGTTACTGATTTCTAAAACAAATGATTGTGAATTTGGGTGAGGAATATCTCCCAAGTAAGTTCTTTTCTTGCCTCAGACTGGTGAAGACTTTCACAATTTATCTCAGTATAACAACGGTTGTTCTGACTAGAATAGTTGATAGAATTTAAACTGTTTTTAGGTAGAACTGCCAATTACAAAAACTGTAAAAATGAATACCAACGCTAGAAAGATAAAAGACAACTGGAACTCCATTTCTGCCTGGATAGGAGACTCTGATCCGGGCTGGATTGGATATGTCTGGGCTGGATTGAACTGTCAACAACTTCAACTACTAAGCTTCAGCTGTAAATCGATACCAAAGTTCAATTTTGGCAGAGCTTTAATCTACTTCAAGCTTTGTGAGGCTTTTGAGTGGGCAAAACTGCAGCTTCTTGAGTTTGAATGAGCAGAAGTGGCTGTTCTTGAGGACTTAGTGAGCCAGGGACTGCACTGTGAGATTTGTTGAGGTTTTCATGTTGGGAAAAACTTAAAACTCTGCTTGCCTTGGCTTTTGCTGAACCAAATTTGTAACGAGAGAGATCTCGTTTTAAATGACTTAGTTTCTAAGTCTGAACTTTGGGGAGTTTTGATCTAAAGCTGGTTTTTTTCTTGGAGTTCAAGTGAGCTTTTGGTTGATTTTGAGTTGTTTGTTTGATTGATGAATTGATTGTCCTTTGCCCTGTTCACTCCCTCTTATATTTATAGGAAAATGGTTTGGAGTAGGGTTTCTTTCTTTTAATAATGGGCGGCGAAAATTCTTTCAAAAGATCTTTCAGTTTTAAAATATAAAGAAGAGAGGGCTCTTAATTAACTCTGGCAGATAGGTTTTCAACAGTCAGTTCTTAAGATCACTTCCCTTTTTTTCTTGAAAGATAACCTAACCTTTCTTTAAATTCTAACTGCCCCCTTGTGAGAGAGATCAAACCGTGATGGTTAGTTTGATTTCCCAGATGAACAACTCTATGTCCTCCTGCTTATCTCCTTTTTGAAAATATGGCCTGCGTATCTCTTGAAGGATGGTGCCTCCTTGGAGTGAAATCAATATCTTTGAATATATAAGAAGGATTTTGATCTTCTGGTGGCAGAAATTCAGAGAAGTCTTTTTGCCACTGACATGCTTTAATTAATTCCCAATCAACTCAGTTGAGTTTGTTGACTTTTCCATTTTGGCAGTCACGTGGGTTCTGAAAATGGGTCTCCTCCTTTTTTCTTTTAATCATGCTGGGCCTATTCTGATTTGTCCGGAGCCCAAAGGTGACTGCTTTTCTTTGAGGCCTAAGTTTGCTTGCCTTTGGGCTTTTGATTGCTACGTTGGGCTGGGTGCGTTCAAATTAGGCCCAAACAGCACCACCAGGAGCTTTGATGGCCTTTGGCTTCTTTAAATTGCACCACGCATGAAATTGAAATTTAACCAAATAACAGCAAAAAAACAACTCCTCTTGTCGGCAAAAACGTCCACCAACCTGAAGTTCGCACGATTTGAATCGTCAGTAACCAAAGTGGTGAGACTTGACATCTTTTTTTGATTCATCTCTCATATATATATATGCGGCCGTTTGCAGCCACAAAAAATTGACATTTCTTTTCTTTTTGTTTTGTTTGTTTGTTTTGTTTGTTTTTTTTTTTGCCCATCCACAAGAACCCATTGTTTGGTCTATCAAGAAACTTGGTGGTAAGATTGAACCCACCTTTGTTTCATCATGTTCTTGCGTCAGTTTTTTTTTTTGGTGATTCCCACCACGCAATAGCAATTTCTCTATTGGTATGCTGTGCTGCTTCTACTTCTGTGCTTTCGTTGTTTTTTTTTTTTTTTTTTTTTTTTTGTTGTTGTGTGAAGCAAGACTGGAGGGTGGAAGGGCTGGAACATGCCTGGAGGTGTGCGTTAGGGCCTGAGGTATGACTGGAGGGGAGGTGTGCGTTAGGGCCTGAGGTATGACAGGAGTTGTGTGTTAGGGCCTGGGCAATATGGCTGGAGACTTGGAAGGGCTGGTAGGATCGAGCCTTGCATGTGCTGGGCTCGAAGTAGAGGTATGGAGGCGCTGGCCTTGGTGTGCGATGTGGGCTCGAGCTAGGAGAGAGCGGGCCATTAAGAGATGTTCGGCTGCGCACTGGAGTTGGAGCAAGCAACGATGGGCTTTGCATGAGGCGTGGGCTGCATAGGAGGAGACGCTGGGCTGCACATACTGGCGCTGGGCCTTGCGGAGGAGAAAAGGGGTCTTCATGCTGAAGATAACGGGCCAGGCACGACGTGGGCCAACGTACTGGAGCTGGGCTGGAGAAGTGGCAATCGAGGATGGGCTTGGCCAATGGGGCATGCACTCTGGTTGGCTTTGAAGGAGGTGGCAGATTGGTCCAAGCAGCCCGAAAATTTTTTTTTCTCTTTTTTGTTTTTGTTTTTGTTTTTGTTTTTTTGTTTTTATTTTTGCTGCTGCACATCTAGTATTCTTTCAATCAAATTTTTTTAATATTTATTTATATATAAATATTAGTTGATAATATTCATATATATATATATATATATTTGTAATACGTCCTTTGAAAGAAAGTGAAGAACGTAGACGTCCTATACCACTTGGGTTTGATCTATTTCTCCGACTTGGTGATAACCCGCTCACGCGTTTAGACTTTACGTAGGAGAAGACAAGCGAAGAACGTAGACGTCCTATACCGCTTGGGTTTGATCCATCTCTCTAACTTGGTGAGAACCCGCTCAAGTTCTTAGGCTCTACATAAGTGGAAGACGAGTGAAGAACGTAGACGTCCTCTACCACTTGGGTTTGATCCATCTCTCCGACTTGATGATAACCCGCGCTCAAGTGCTTAGGCTTTACGGAGAGGAAGGCGAGCGAAGAACGTAGACGTCCTATACCGCTTGGGTTTGATCCATCTCCCCGACTTGGTCATAACCCGCTCAAGCACTTAGGCTTTACGTAAGTGAAGACGAGCGAAGAACGTAGACGTCCTATACTGCTTGGGTTTGATCCATCTCTCCGATTTGGTGATAACCCGCTCAAGCGAAAATTGCTTCTTGTGGCATTCCATCTTTATCCAGCTCTTCAAACTTGTACAAGTAAGCGTTTCCCCTTGGTTTTTTTTGTTTTTGTTTTTTGTGTCCCAAATTTTGCTTGAGTCGCCCTTTTGGGTTTTCAGCTCAACGGACTTTCTTATGCTCTAATGTTTGCTTGGATCGCCCTTTCGGGTTTTCAATCCAACGAGCCTTTTTTTTTTTCTTTTTTGGGTGTGTTGTGCCGTACGCAGTTTAGGCTCATGCGGGCCAGTAGCTTGTTGATGCCTTGTGCAATTTTAGATCACGCAGGCAAAGAAGCGTTTGGTGCCTTGCAGTTTCGGCTCGTACAGACAAAGAAGTGTTTTGGTGCCTTGGGCAGTTTCACTCATGCGGGCGGAGGAGCATTTTGGTGCCTCGTGCAATTTCAGCTTGTGCAGGCGGAGGAGCAGTTGGTGCCTTGCAGTTTCAGCTCGTACAGGCGAAGGAGTGTTTTGGTGCCTTGGGCAGTTTCGGCTCGTGCAGGCAAATGAGCGTTTTCGTGCCTTGTGCGGTTTTGGCTCGTGCAAGTGAAGGAGCGTTTTGGTGCCTTGTGCAGCTTTGGCTCATGCAGGCGGAGGAGCATTTTGGTGCCTTGTGCAGTTTCAGCTCGTGCAGGCGGAGGAGCGTTTGTACTCGGGTAACTCAATCACCTTCTTCTTGAGTAAGTCTTCCAACATGCCTTATACGTCAGAGTCTGGAAAAGGATACTTCTTCTCCTTCATTTCTTTTAGGGTGTGTCGTCGTGGTTCTTGATCTTGAGTCGACTCGGCCTTCCTCGCATCTTTCTTGCCTCGAGTGGAAGTCTTCATTGGAGTGGCACTGATCGTCATTGACTCCAAGATGCGTGTCTTCAAAGAGTTTGCCCCATTTCTCGACGACTTGTCATTTCGACGATCACTCACCATTTCCTTTCTTCCATCCTGACTAGCGATACTTAGTTCTATGTCATACGCATGAGTGGTTAATTCTTCAAAGCTACGGGGTTTGATCCCTTGAAGAATGTAGAGCAGACCCCAATGGATACCTTAAATGCACATCTCTACCGTAGATAACTCTAAGACTCGATCTTCGCAGTCGAGGCTTAATGAACGCCAACAATTGATGTAGTCAACAACAGGTTCGTCTTTTTGCTACTTTGTGCTAGTGAGCTCTAGCATGCTAACTGAGCGACGAGTGCTATAGAATAAGACTCACCTATTCCGTCACCATGACCTGCATGGCCATAGAATAAGACTCACCTATGGACGTTGAGGCAATCTTCTTCGGTTGATCGTTAGACGGGGATCCATGGTATGGGCTTGTGCTCGAGTCAACGTCTGAAACAGGAGAGAGTGAACGTTCTTTTGAATTCTTCGAGCCCGGAAAACTCTTTTCTTCGTTCCGAGAGTTTCTCTCACCCGCTCGGGCAGTATTCTTCTTTGCCCCCAAGGAGGCCAAATTGATAACCGGTTCACGCCTTCAGTTCACATATTTCGCCTTGGCTTGAGTCGGTATGGAAGTGACATGTTTAGTTGCGGATATCGCCTTGGCCTTACTCCGGGTGACGACCCCTGCAGAATCTCCTCTTGAGAAGGAGGCGCTCACGCTTTCGCCTCTCGTCACGGGAACAGTTTGAATCTTCTTGGAAGCCATCGTTTTCGGCATGTTGATTGATTTTGGAACTGGAAAAATAGATGAGAGGCAGATATGGTCCCCCTGGGCGTGCCAAATGTGTAAACACGAAATTCTTGCGACAAATGAGACAAGAACACGTGTACAAAATAATATTTGTATTTATGAAATTTAGGGTTACAATCTCTGTATTGAATCCTCTGATTCGATCTCCAAAGTGTTTAAAGAAAATTTGTGTTTGATACAAGGGTCGTAGGGACTTGATCTGGATCAAACGGGTAGCACAAGGCTTGTTTGGTGTTTGGAATTTCTAGTGTGGAGGAACCGACACGTATTTGTTGTGCTTGGTTGGTCTTCCAAAGTGAGGTGAAGAATGCAGAGAGTTTTATGTTTCTTCTGAATGCTTGGTCTGTCTAAGCCCCTTTCTTTTCGTCTTGAGGCCTCCTATTTATAGGCTCATCCAGGATGCTTGACCTAAATAACTTTCCCTCTTTAAAACCTTCCTTTGTGGAATTCTAATTTGATTTTAAAATCAATTCCAATAATTTGGCAATTTAACCAAATTGTCTTCGATTGATTGACTTGATTAATATTTGATTTAGATCAAAGTCAATCACAGAAGATTCTTTCCCTTAATTTTGTCTTCACTTTGAACCGCTTGATGCACTCCGTCGGATGTTGACACGTGTCACTTTTGACAACTAATCCGATTTTGATGAGTCATATGCCACATGGACGAATTATGGGGCCCACGACCTCCAAATTCCGATCCGAAAGTTCCTATGTGTTCTACAAGGCTTAAGACACACGTCATGTAAGTTTGGTCCAGATCGAACGGTCGGATCGCTCACAATCACACGATCGGACGGTTATTGTAACCCTAGCCCTAAGGTTGGCATTTTCGGATTATTCGGGACTCCGTTTTACATCTTGTTAGAGAAGTTCATCTATGTGGGCCGGTTTATTTTAGATGGATGTATCCGTTCGAAAGATATATGAAAGTGCTAAATGGGTATGTTCAAAACCGTAATCATCCTGAAGGTTGCATTGCTGAGCGGTATATAGCTGAAGAAGCCGTAGAGTTTTGCACCGAGAATTTATCTGATGTTAGTACAGTTGGAGTGCCATCAAGCCAGAAGATGGGACTTTCAAAGCCCTTATCAGGTTGCACAGTGAGTTTAGTTGATCGGGACTTGTTGAATCAGGCACATCTATATGTCTTGGAGAATACGGAGGAAGTTACCGTATATCGAGTATGAGTTTTATTCTTAAGTAGTCATTTTAAATTATATTCCTTATGTTTATCTGATATGTTTGGGACTATAATGCTTGAATTTTTCGTGTTATGTAGAGAACATATGATCCACATCAAGACCACTTATCCAAAATTTAGAAAGAGAACAAAGTGGCTACAAGATAAGCACAATACACTTTCATTCAATGGCTACGCTGTAAGGTATATGAAATTGAATAACATATTGCACTTTTAATTTTCTTCTTTTTATGTTAGATTGAATTAAGATATGATTCATTTGCAGGTTCAAAGTCAACTTAATGGGGAAGACAATAATGGTGTATCAGAAAATTTGAGGTGGCTAGCAGCTGGTCCAAGCATGGCAGTGCCATCATAAAGGAGCTATCTTATCAAAGGAATTAAATTTAACACCAAGGCACAAGATGATGTGCGTGCAGTTCAAATAGTGGAGTTTATTTATTTGCACTTACTAGCAAGTTGCTAGTGCCAAGGATAAGAACCCAATTGTCTCAAATATGGGTTTTTATGGTGTCATTCAAGATATTTGGGACCTTGATTGCCAAAAGTTTACAATCACAGTGTTTAGGTGTGATTGGATAGATAGCACTTCTAGCCTTGTAGTCGACGAACTTGGATTTACCGTTGTAGATCTGAGTAAAATTGGACATAGGAATGACCAATTTATTATGGCTTCTCAAGTCAAACAAGTATTTTTGTTGATGACCCAATGCATCATGGTTGGTCAGTAGTGTTATCAATGCCTAATAGAGAATATAATGATGTTATTGGTGATGATGTCTTAAGTGATGTGAGAATTGAGTGTGAGCCATTTACTAGAGGGATGCCAAATGTTGACACATTTGATGAACTAGCCGGCGAGTCTGGGAGTCAAAATATTCGAGATGGGTGTGAAGATATATGGATTGAATGATGCTTGTAATTTATGACATTACTTACGCTCTATATGACATTAATTTTGTAAGAAATTGTATTGCATTTTTTTCACTTTCATTATACAGGGTTTGGGCTCAAAGCTTTCAGTACAAAAAAAATCTGGTTCAAGTACCAAAATACAACGGTCCTGTTAACATTATTGCAAAAACAGACGTCATAATAGTATCAAACGTTGTTTTTTTATCATACGTCTTGCAATGGAAGACCTTTAAACCTGTAAAAAAACAAAGATAAAAATGATATAGACGTCGGTTTAAAAAAAAGGACATTAAAAAGTTTTTACGTCTCCAATGAGACGGACTCGATGTACTTACCGCCGTATAAAATTTAACTCAAAAGACTGCACACAATAATAAAACAACGACGGTAATGAAAAGCCGTTGTTACAGGATATCACGACAGGAAGGCAAAAAAAGACGAATTTAAAAGAAGATAAAACGACCTCGTAACAAATATACCATCGTCTTACCTCACAAACAAAATTGTGAGAAAATGAATTACGTCGTCTTTAGAAATAAAAATGACGTAGAAAATAGTAACCATGTCACATTTTATATGCTTACCGACGTTGTAAGTTCTTTCACCGTCATCATTTAAAATAAAGGAGACGTAAAATACTCATTCTTCCCATATTTACTGACGACATTAATAGGTTTCACATCTCCTTGGTGACAATGTGTTGTTCAATATTACACACAAACGTCGTCTTTTAAGACATAGATGACGTAGTAGATCATAACCACGGCGGTGTTGGTAGGTTATACGACGTTTGTATCACGACAAACAACACGGTGTTTAGAATAACTGACGTTGTAAATCGTATTTCACAGTCAGAGTTTAAAGTAAAAGAGACGTACGAACCTGTTTATTCCCATATTTACTGACGTCATTAATAGTTTTCACGTCTACTTTTTAACCATGTGTCGTGAAATGTACTATAACAACGTTTTCTGTGGAAAAATAGGTGTCGTGGTATGTTCTTCTAATGTCATCTCTGATTACTAATAGACGTGTGTACGTCCTTTAATACGTCAACTTCTGAGTTAAGACTGACGGTGTACAGAATTTTCAACGTCATATCTGGAAACAAAAGTGACGTAATATTTCATCATGTGTCGTGGAATGTCCTCATCAACGTCGTTCAGTTAATTGCTTATGACGGGGTGGGGTTTTTTTAGGCGGTATTTTACTAAACAACGTCATGTTTGTTCCTTTAGACGACGGTTTTTCCTTAAATTGAGTCGTTTAATGATTCCCAATTAGTTATTTTGGTGGTCATTTTCTTTACTTTTACGTCAGATTTTATTTATTTCGACGTTGTTTCTTTATGAACAACGTCTCCGTTTTACCGTCGTGGTTTTGTTTTTAAAAAGATGTCGGTCGATTTCACGATAGTTAGAAAACTTGCTAGACGACGGTGAATACCCGTCGTCTATGGCCCTTTTTGTAGTGTGCTGAAGGCCTTTCAAGGCTGTTACAGAATGCTGAAAGGATAAGGAGTTTGCATGGGATTCGAATTGCTCATGGAGCTCCATCAGTCAATCATTTATTCTTTGTTGACGATAGTATTCTATTTCTTGATGCAACTAAAGAGTCATGTGAAACAATGAAGAATATATTTCAGTGTATAAGGAGACTTCAAGGAAAAAGATCAATTTCACAAAGTCGGCTGGATCCCCTTATCCTTTTTGGGTGCAACTGTAGCTATTGTTGTCATTGTGGCTGCTGCTTATCTCTTCACCCCCAAGAAGAGCACAGGTTTCACCTCTTACACTACTACATTTTATTATTTGTGCGACGAAGGAAAATTCGTCGCGCAAAAGGCACTACAGCGACGGAAAATTTTTTTCGTCGCGCAAAAAACTGGAAACCTGCGCGACGAACATCTCCGTCGCTCAAAGATCGTTCACGCGACAAAAAAAATGAGCCGTCGCGCAAAGTGGGGAAGAAAAGCGTGGGGGGTTTTTTTTTGCGCCAAACCTTTGCGTGATGACAGAGTCCGTCGCGCAAAGTGGGGTAGAAAAAGCGCGGGGGTTTTTTTTTGCGCCAAACCTTTGCGCGACGGCAGAGCTGGTCGCGCAAAGAACGTTTGCGCTACGAATCAATTTCGTCGTCACGCAAAGTATGGAACGGAAAACAAGGTTGATTTTTTTTCGCCAAATATTTGCGTGACGATGATAATCGTCGCGAAATACATCATTGCGCAACGATTTTACTTTTATCGCGCAAAGAAGGAGAGAAAATGGTGCGAAAACTTGCGCGACAGACGTTGATTCGTCGCGCATGGTTTGATGTCGGCACTATCTTGTGCAACGGAAATTTTAGCTTGCGCGACACCTTCACAAGTTTGCGCGACGACAAATATTTTCCGTCGCGCAAAAATCCGATTTCTTGTGCGACGAAAATTTTATTCGTCACGCAAAATCCTTCTTCTACATATCTGCAGTCTGCTATTGTAGAGGCAGATTGCTCCATTTTTCTGCCATTTCGATTTTTCCTCTGTCTGTGCTGCTGCCTCTGTTGAGAATTCAATATGCTCATTAGGTAAATATTATTCGTCATTTGTTTAAAAGTATTAATGTAAATTCGTACTAACGGTATTAATTTTTTATTATTATAGATATTTGTAAATTGCGATTGTGGAGAACGATTGAGAAGGTATTTCATTCATTTTATATTAAATTCATTACATTATGTTGAACTTAGTTTGTTAGATTTATATATTTTGTTGTTGAATTATATTTATATTATGTTGTTAAATTGTGCATGACGTAGCACAATGTGTTGTGATGTACGAAGTTAATTGAAATTAACTTCGTACTTTTATTATATTTTTTAGTAACACTTAGTTTCCCGTTCGAGATTAGTTGGATTTCGTGCATGGATGTGTAAAGCATGACTGCGGTCCAATTAATTCTTGAATTGTCCCATTATTTGGACAATTTGGTAATGCATAGTGTTGTCACGTAATCTACGGCTACAGGATTAGATTTCGATTGTGAGATTTCGGTGTCATCTCGGTACGTTCTTTGGGTGGTACGTAGGTATTTATACCTATGCCCACCTCAAGAATTGTATCGAGATGCTGCCGAAATTTATCCACGTCAAAATCTAATCTCATGTAGCCGTAGGTTACGTGACAGGACTATGCATTCCCGAATGGGATAGAGCCCTTACCGAAGGCATAAGGTGACATTATAACTTTGTATGAAGTTGTTGTGATACAGTGTTGTGATTGTGGTTTCAGGAATCATGAGCAGAAGGTGGATACAGAACTCGAATAGATGCGCAGACGAATACTTGGATAGAATCGAGGATTTTATTGAGTTTGCATGTAGACACAACCCGGGTGCAACTAGAATCCGTTGTCCTTGTAGAAGGTGTAATAACACGTTGTGGGAGACAATTGAAAATGTTGGCTTTCATTTAGTAAGGAATGGAATGATTGAGACATATAGCATTTGGAACCTTCACGGGGAACAATTAGACAATGTTTCATCTTCAAATGCCACAAGGGTAGACAATATTGAACCTATTGTGGATCCTAATGAACAAGTCATGGATATTATAAATGATGCTTTTCCATTTGCATCGACCAACATCAATCAGGAAGGGGAAGATGACGTGCCTACCCCAATGGACAGTGCAGAGTTCGAACAATATGAACAACTGTTAAAAAGTGCCAACCAAGAGTTATACCCAGGGTGCGAGAGCTTTTCGGTTCTTACGGCCATTGTGGAGCTAATGCACGGAAAAATAAAGTATCGTATGTCGAACCTGTGTTTCGATTACTTTTTGGGCGTTTTCAAGAGAATGCTTCCGACGGACAATTGTTTGCCCAAAGACCATAGACAAGCGCAAAAGGTGTTGAATGGTCTTGGATTGGGTTATGAAAAAATTCATGCTTGCAAAAACAATTGCATGTTATTCTACAAAGAGTATGAAACATTGGATACATGCCCTATATGCAAAGAGTCGAGGTTCAAGATGACATCTCAGAATAGGACAACTAAGATCCCACAGAAAGTCATGCATTATCTGCCCTTGAAACCTAGGCTACAACGATTGTATATGTCGACTCATACAGCCACAGACATGAGATGGCATAAGGAGAAACGGGTAGACGACGATGTGATGCGGCATCCTGCAGATGGGGAAGCATGGAAAGAGTTCGATTAAACGTTCCCCGACTTTGCGCTGATCCTCGAAATGTTAGATTGGGACTTTCCACTGACGGATTCAATCCGTACGGGGTTCTAAACCAACACCACAGCACTTGGCCAATTTTCGTATTTCCATATAATTTGCCGCCTTGGAAATGCATGAAAAAAGAGTACATGATGATGACTGTTTTGATAACTGAGGATCCTGGCAGGTCAATCGATGTTTACTTACGGCCGTTGGTTGATGAGCTCAAGGATTTATGGACAAACGGTGTGCGCACGTACGATAAAGCCACTGGGAAGATGTTCACTTTGCGGGCAGCAGTGATGTGGACTGTAAATGATTTTCCCACATATGCAATGGTTTCTGAGTGGAGCACAAAGGGTTATATGGCATGCCCTGTATGCAAGGAAAATGTAACTTTTGGTTGGCACGTGGGAAAAGATTGTTATCTTGGTTATCGAAGATGGTTGCCATGAGATCACGAGTGGCGGGAAAATGATAAAGAGTTTGACAGGAACACAGAGCATCACCTCAGACCTAGAGAATGGTCCGGTGATGAGATCTTGGAATAGCTAAACTGTTTGGATTTTTTCTCCGTTTACTCGGACTAGACCTTCTACACATTTGAACTGGACACACAAGTCTATGTTTTTTGAGCTCCCATATTGGTCGAAACTAAAATTGAGGCACAATCTCGACGTTATGCATGTTGAGAAAAATGTCTTTGACACATTGCTGGGCACGATTCTAGATATTGAGGGTAAGACAAAGGACACGATCAAATCTCGTCTTGATTTGGAAAGAATGGGCATACGAATAGGTTTATGGATGAACAGGGACGGTGATAAAGCTAGAAGGGATCTGGCATTTTTTGCCATGAAACCGAATGACAAAAAAGATTTTCTACAGTTTGTATCGTCGGTAAAGTTTCCCGATGGGTACGCTTCTAATATCGCGCGTTGCGTGAATGTTGACGGGGGTAAATTTACTGGACTGAAGAGCCATGACTGTCATGTGTTTATGCAACGCCTACTTCCTGTGGGTATTCGACACCTTTTGCCAGAAGATGTAGTGAAACCAATCATGTTGTTGTCCAAATTTTTTTCCCAACTGCCGGCAAAAACATTGCGAAAGACAGACATTAATCAGTTGCGCCATGACATTGTCCAAGTCCTACGCAAGTTCGAGATGATATTCCCTCGAACTTTCTTCACAAGTATGATCCACGTGATGGTTCATTTGCCAGAAAAGGCATTGCTCGCTGGTCCTGTAAACTATCGCTGGATGTATCCAATAGAAAGGTATATAATCCTCATAATTTGTTTCCGCATCCTTATCTCACGGTCGCTAATTTGTATCATTTGTTTTTATTTTGCCAGGCTTCTCGGAGAGTTGAAAAAAACTGTACGCAACAAGGCGAAACCCGAAGGATCAATTATAAAGGCTTGGGTTCAATATGAGTCGCTTACTTTCTGTGGAATGTATTTAAAAGATGTGGACACGGCTTTCAATCGTCCTCAGCGCAATAATGACGGAGGTCTGAGAAATGAGAAACTTTCTGTTTTCACCCAAAGCGCACGACCCTTTGGAGATCCGGTACGAAGAGAGTCGTTTTCTAGAAATGACATAGAGGTAGCGCATTGGTTCATACTTAACAATTGTGATGAGATAATGTCATACTTAGATGAGCATGAAGAGATGATGAAGCGAGAACATCCATCACATTTGTATTCCAAGAAACACCGTGATTTGTTTCCAAAATGGTTTTTGGAATATGTAAGTTATAAGTGTTTTGTATTTATATATATATATATATTGTGTATTATTTAATGTTATCAAACTAACATGTGAATTCATTTGTATAATATTAGGTGAATAAGTTGAAATCATCGAATTCACCCTCTTACAGTGAAGAGTTATATAACTTGGCGTTCGGCCCAATTCGCACTGAATTATTCTCGGGTTGCCATGTTAATGGCGTCAAGTTTTTGGGGACTGCACGAGATGACAAGTTGTGTACGCAAAACAGCGGTGTCCATGTCCCAGGTGGTGGCGAAAGTATGACATTGATTTCTATGGCAAACTCACAACTGTCGTGCAATTGCTTTACAAAGACCAATACCAAGTGATCATGTTTAAGTGTCGATGGTTTGATACAAACCCAAATAGGCAAGGAAGTGTTAAAATAGACCATGGCTTACTATCAGTGAACATTAACAGAACTTGGTATGATGACGACCCTTACATTTTGGCAAACATGGCAAGACAGATTGTGTATCTAGATGACCCTAAAGCCGAAAGCGGTTGGAAAGTTGCTCAGCAGATGGATTAGAGGAACGTGTATGGTATACCAGAACTAGACCCAACTGACAACGACGTCGACAACGTCACTGACCAACGGTTGGAATCTTCCATGGAAACTGATGCAGAAACACTTCGAGATACATATGTTATACAAGAACCGTTTCAGCTTCAAGGAGTGTCTTCAATCGAAATACCGATTCAGTCAATTACAATTGACCTCGGTGATCTACCGTGCTATGAAGTTCCAGTGGGCCCGAACAACGAAAGTGATGAGGAGGAGGATTGGGAGACCAAAACTGATGATAGCGAGGATAACAAAAGTTACTATAGTTCAGATGATGAATAATGCAATTCATTAGCGACTACCCATGTAAAACATAGTAAATGAAATTTGTTGTAATTTAATTATGGTAGTGTAATTATGGCAATCACAAATTAAAATGAAGTTGCACACAAAATTTGCAATCACAAATTAAATTACAACATATAATATATAAATTAAAATTTAGATATATACATACCTAAATTTGAAAACATATTTGAATATATCTATATATACCTATATTTGAATATATCTATTTGATTTTCAATTGCCATTTATGAATATAAGAATTACGGTTTTCTCTTTTTTGTGTTTAAAATCTTCAAATTGAATGAATACCACATGTAGATGATTTTTTCATTTTTGGTTTTGTTTGAAGGATATTATAATATTAAACACTATTGTTATAAATTTATTGTAGAACCATGTATATATATATACATATAATTTAATCACATAAATTATGTTAAATTTATTTTATCATAATTGATGTTAACATTTTAATCTAACTTACACCTTTCACCCAAAGAAGAGTATATATTTTTTGCCAATAGTCTTAAATTAATATACTCCTCTGTTAAAATTAATCTATTGGAAAAAATTTGAGATTTTTGTAGAGAATAACATGTTAACATTTTATTTTTCTTTTTCCAATAGTCTGCAATTAATATACTCCTATTTTTACCATATGAATATATGAATACTGACATAAAACATATATAACACCTATAAACAAAAAACAATGTAATTATAATTAAATTTTCGGAATTTTCAGAATTTCTGGCGGAATTACAATCTTGTGTGACGAAACAAACTTATTCGTCGCTCAAAGTGCACAAAACTTGCGCGACGAACAAGTGTATTCGTCGCGCAATCTCATTCAGGCCTTTTACAAATACGGAACACTTAGCATAAATTTTTACAAGTGGTTTGCACAAAACAAAGGCTTGCACGACGAACAAGTCGTATATTCGTCGCGCAATCTCATGCAAGCCTTTTACAAATACGGAACACTTAGCATAAATTTTTTCGAGAGGTTTGCACAGAACAAAGACTTGCGCGACAAATAAAAGCTTTTCGTCGCGCATTCTAAACCCTAAACCCTAAACCCCACGGTACACTTGGTTGAAATTTATTATCTTTGCGCGACGAATAAACTACCTCTTCGTCGTGCAAGCTGCTGAGCTCAAAGGCTTGCGCGATGAAAACTTCATTATTTCGTCGCGCAATGTCATTCAATTCTTTTAAAATTGTGTAAAATGTGTATAAAGTGATCAAAATATAGTACCATGTTTGTTTCATTTAATTCTAGTCTTAGATGAGATTGCTAATACCGGGCCCACCAAAAACACCTCCTTAGGAAGGGACTACTAATCCCATGTTGAAAGGGAGGATTAACTAGTCCTATGTTCAAAATGTATAAGTTGCATATATTATATTGTAATACTAATAACATATATTACTATTATTATTATTACTACATACACATATACTATAATGTACATATATACACGTATATACACATATACAAGTGTATATATATAAACACATATATACATAAATACATACACGTATACATACATATTAATTAATATACACATATACACATACATATTAATATTATAATAATAGCATACATGTATATATGTAATATATATATTATATTATAATACATATATACGTATATATACATATATGTGTATATATATTATACCCATGTATGTATTATAATACACATATACACATGTATATACACATATATATTATATTATAATATACATATATACATGTATATTATTATTATTATTATTATTATTATAACATACCCATATATATGTATATACGTATATACATGTACATTATAATATATAATATACATGTATATATGTATATATATACGTATATTATAATATATAATATATATACATATTATATATACATATGTATTTTATAATATAAATAATATATGTATATATACATACATATATAATACATATATACACGTATATACATGTATATTATTATTATTATAACATGCCCATATATATTATATATTAATATATACGTACATATATATAAATATATGTATATGTATTATACCCATGTGTATTATAATATACATATATACACCTATATACACATATACATGTTTACATTATTTATAATATATAATATACATGTATACATATATATACCCATATATTATATATTAATATATACGTACATATATATAAATATATGTATATGTATTATACCCATGTATATTATAATATACATATATACACCTATATACACATATATATATGTTTATATTATTTATAATATATAATATACATGTATACATGTATATACACATATATGTTATATATATATTATATGTATGTATATATACATATATATATATTATATGTATGTATATATACATATATATATATATTATATGTATGTATATATACATATATATATATTATATGTATGTATATATACAGCCTCCTTTCTTCCTCACTTCCTCTCTCTGCCCTAAACACCCTCTCTCTTCGCCGTCACCCCAGCCCAGTGCTCCGCCGGAAAAAGGACCTGGCCGCCACCGTCGTCGAAGCCCAGAGGCTCCCTTGCCATCACCGTCGAAGATTCCGCCGGAAAAAGCTTCATTTGGCAGATTCTGCGCCGCCTGTTTTCTCTCTCCTCTAGCCACCAATTCCGACGCCTAAGGTATGGTTTCTGGACTACTTCTTGTGCTCTAGCTGATGGTTGATTAGGATTTGGATAATTGTGTGAATAGGTGTCTCGAATTTAAACCTTAGGTTTTGGCCGGTTTTTGAATTTAAATTCCGGCCATTTTTTGGGGTAGGTCTGAGAACAAAAGTGCCTCTAAATGATGTTTTGAACCTAGGGTAGGAACCTTGGCCCTTAGTTTTTAGAAATTTCCGGCGATTGTTATCGCTTTGGACACCTACGCGCTGCCGGCGCGTGTGGTGGCGCGTGGGGACTATGGCAGTGAGGCATTGGGTCCCAGAGCAATCCCCTATTTGTCAAGAGTACGTAGGTGTGCTCGGATTTTAATTTGGTTACCGTTTCAGTCTCGAACGGATTTCGCCTATTGTGCAATTTCTAGGTTTGATATGTTCGGACAATTGGATCGAACTCAAACTCACGTATGTTGTACCTTGTATTTCTAGGATCGTGTAGGATTCGACCGATTGTGGATCGGAGTCCCGGATACTCCGCAATCGCAAACCCTAGGTTATTCTTGTAATTAATTATTTAAAATTATTAATGAAATTTTATAACTTATATATTCTAAATTCTATTAATGTCTGTGTGTACCCTTTGGAAATTGTGAAGATGTCAGATCTGATTAGACGTCGTAGGTCGGTGACGACTACACCGAGTTTGGAGCCCCCGGCTCGGTCGGCATCTGCTGCCACTGCTCCTGCACTGATGGACCAACTGCCAGGGGTGTCCCTGGCGCCTGCGTCATCAACTTCATCAGTGGCGCAGCCTGTTAGTGCTAGGCGGCGGCACCGGCCCGCAAGCACCACCGACACGACGTCGACCGATGGTACTGTTGCCTCGGGGTCACAGCCAGGTATAGATATCCCTTCAACTGTAGTTATTTTTTTAATTTTTTTTATTCTGAATTTTATAGTTACATTTGTTATTTATTGAACATTATTGTCATATCTCATTACAGCCAAGAAGAACACCCGAGGGCCGTGTCGGCAGCTGAAGACGGCGAAGGTCACCCGGGTGACCAACAGTCGTATTAGCATCGGATACGACAAGTGCCATCGGGCTGCACCGACAACAGAGTTGCATAGCTCCTTGGCCCACGACATTGGCCACGTCGTTCGGACCCATTGCCCGATGCACTAGAAGTCTTGGAAGGTCATGCCTGACGAGATCAAGATGAAGGTTCACGACCAGTTGTCGGTATGTATCCTACCTTGTAATTATTTTTCTTTCAAATTTTATATATTTCTATTACTTAATGTATGTAAGTAATTTATTGCAGACGAACTATAACTTAGAGGACCTCAACGAGAAGTCGTTGGCGTACGTCAACAGACTCTTTGGTGAGAGGTACAAGCAGTGGAAGAGCGACTTGCACCACCATTTTCAGGCGTTTGATGATCCGGAAGTCGCTCTTCGGGAGGGTTGCCCGAAGGAGCTTGAGGGGCGGGAGGATAGTTGGGCATGGCTCTGCACTCATTTTCAGGCGCCCGATTATGTGGTATTTGTTTAATTATTTCATATTTTTTTATTAATGTTTATTTCATTTTTTATATTTCATTATTATTAAATTTTTTATATTTAAATTAATATGTTTTATTTTTTGTATAACAGAATAAAACCCATGTGAATAAGGGCAATATGAAGAAGAAGACTCTTCTCCACCATTCCGGCTCTAGGCCCTTCTCATATAGGATGGATGCACGGCGGTGGGTAATAATAATATCATTTCTATTTAATTTTTAATATGTCATTATTATTAATTTATTTTGTTCATACTAATATTTTTCTTCTCTTATTCAATTTAAGGGGGGTCGAAATTCCTAGAGATCGACGTCTTTGGTGACGTTTATGTTCGACCTGGGAATGAGTTGGCCGAGTCCCTTCATGTAAGTATTATTTTTTTTTAATTTTTATGTTACGCATTCAATTTATATACATGTTTTAATTTATATTTTATGTTATGTTAAACAGACGACGATGGTGGAGAGGAGCCAGTTGGTTCTTCAGGAGTCTGCCTCTCAACTTCCTCCCGAGACTCCGATCGAGTCTGTGGATCCTCCACAGGATGCTGGATTTCAAATCTTTACGGAGACGTTGGATCAGACTCTCGGGAGGAGGCCGGGAACATATTGTAGAGGGATGGGGAATGCCCGACAGAGGGAACCTCGACCCCGATCATCATCGCAGGCAAACAGTCAGGTGACTGTTTTGACATCGCGGGTTGCCGAGCTTGAGGGTCAAATGTCGGTGATTCTGCAGTCCCTCGCACAGTCAGGCATTCCAATCCCGAATTTTGGTGCGTCGACATCCGAGACTGTCCACCCCAAGCATCCCTAGCAGACCACGGCCCCTGTAGACCCCCAGATCCCCGAGCCGCATATGCCTGACGACCATGTAGATTTTGGAACATTATTTGATTAGTTTATAATTTTCATAATTATTTTTTAAATATTTCTCTTGTAATCTGCATTTATTTTGTTTTATATAATAAATGTATTCTTTACAATTCATTTTTGGATTGCAATTTCATTTTATTACCACAAAAAAAAAAAAACCAAATTTATTTTTTTACAAAATAAAAAAAAACGTAATATTAAATTTAAATAATCTGTATAAATTTTGCGCGACGAAATGTTTCTCGTCGCGCAAACTCACTTAAAAAAAAACGGGAAAATAATAATTTATACACTTTTATTTATGCTTGCGCGACGAATGTTTTCGTCGCGCAAGCTCAGTATGCGCTACAGATTCCTTTTCATCGCGCAAGGTTTGCACGACGAAGAGTCCTTCGCTGCGCCAATTTAGCGCGACAAAGTACTTTCGTCGTGCAAAATAGTGCGACACTAATCCTACGCGACAACTTTTCTGTCGGGCAAACATTGCGCGACGAAAAACCTTTCGTCGCGCAAAAATTCGTGCTTCGCACCGTCGTTTTGTCCCTTCAACTTTTCTGCAACGAAGGTGCTACGTCGCACCGTTTTGCGTGACGAAGTCAGTTATTTGGTCGTACAAAGTCTTTCTTCACGATCTTTGCGCGACGGAATATGCGCGACGAATCTTCTGTCGTGCATAATTATGTGTGACGAAATGTTACTTTGCGCGACGAAAGTCCATTTGTCGCGCAAAGTGTAAAATGTAGTAGTGTTAGTTGCTGTTTTTTATTTCTTTGGTGTGATTAGTTGGTTTTTTCAGTCAGTCATGGTTTTACACAATTTATCTCTTCCTTCCCCCAACTCAAGAGAGCTTTTCTCTCTAGCAGATATGATGCCACACCCTCGAAAATCCATATGATCCATTATATAACAAGGGGCAAGTGTATTCAACAAGCCACCACAATTGTGGCTGAAAACCTAGCCCAGACAATTGATGCTCAATCTGTTGGATCGATCGCCCTAGTGCACAACCTCCTGTGCTTTTTCTGACGGATCAATCCAACAAGTGGTCCGCACACAATTTTATTCTTGTGCTTTCTTCAATAGTCCCCTAAACCTCACCACCTCGCCTTCTGGTGAATATGACTTATGAATTTACTAGAAGTTCAATCAGTTTACAAGCAATTGTAAGATATTAACGGATATGGAAAAAAAATTAAAAAAAATAGAGTATGATCTTATCAAACAACACACAGAAATTGAAACATCAGCTTTTGTTTTTTTAGTATTATTGTATATTTAATTTTATACTTTTAATTCTTTGCGGGTGTCAATAAAAATGACTATGAGTATGTCTTGCCAAGCACGAAAGCAACGTTTAGCAAACCAATATGAATTTCCGAATCAGGTAAGGTTAGTGAAATTCAAATCACTTGAAAGTTGAAGAAAAAGAAGATAAAGTAGAATAGAAAATCATGGTCATTAAATATAGAGTTGTATGATGTGTGGTTTTGTCTGTGCATTATATGTGGGAATCAACTCCATTCATGTGTTTATTCCATATGGTTAGTAAACATCTGAATAGGAATGACTCTTTCGATACTGATTCCTTACTTCTTCCATTCCTGATAAATAAACATGTCATAAATTCCTTAATTCATGCCATTAGTGGCGGACCCACAAAGGTGCAAAAAGATGCAGCTACACCTCCCCTCGACGGAAAACAACTTGGAGTTGGTAGAGTTTGCACCTGTGGTCTGCCTTGGAGTTGCCCACAGTGCATGTGGAAATGCCGCAGCACAGCTTCTATTTTGGGTTTGATGCGCTGCTGCGCAGCAGCGCCTATTCCTTTTTTTTTAACTCCTAGCCAATACGACCTACAAAGCGAGCAGGAGAAGAGCGCTATTCAAGTTTTAAGGATTTCGGCTTCAATTAATTTATATAAAAACGAAATATAAATTAATTGAAGACCCAATCCCAATCCCAAATCCTTTTGTTTTTACCTTCAATTTTATTTCTTCTCATGTATTTTTTTTTCCTTTGGTATTTTTTCTTTAGTTTTTTTCTTTTTCTTTTTATAATATATTTTTTTATTATTTGTTTCTGCTTTATTCCCTACAGGGCCCCAACTGTCGATATCTGAATCTTCGGCGATGTTAAAACGATTACTTTTCAGTTCTTTTGGTGTTCCGTCGGGATCGATCATTGACACCTACACTGCCAATCCGGTTAGCATGCTACCTTTTAGTTTGAGTTTGCATTGCTATTCGCTCTTCTTATATTACTGATAAAGACTTGTTCCATTGTTGTGCTTTTTTGTTTTGTCCAAATAGACATATCCCAAGAATTTCGTTCAACTGGGGGGTAAAAAACTATTCTTGTTCTTTTCAAGTTTGGATATTTCTGAAGCTCATATTAAACTTATCAAGCACGTTAATGAGCGAATAGAAGAGGAGAAGACGGATCAGTATAGGACTGTGTGGATCTCCATTGCGGAGGAAAAGCAGTGGAAGGCACAGGAGGAAGACAATTACTTATTGCACATTGCTGAAAGACTGTCATGCTACACAGCTAGACCACACCCAGAATGCATCAAAAACATCAAGAAAACATACCAATTAGACAACAAGAAGGAGTTTTTGTCGTTGGTGGAGATGGACGAAAGTGGCAATGATGAAAAATCCGATCCTGCCATCACAATTGTCAAGGAAAGAATGAAGCGGTTTGGCTTCAAACCCTGACGGAAAAGTAAGGAAAGTAATGAACAGAAGCCCTTTTTCTGCACTTCACAACCATCACTGGAAGCATTTCGGGAGAGATTTGTGACAGCACTTGGACGACCTTTGCATAAGAGTTACTATTATTCGGAATAATGATAGACGGAAAGTTATCGTCACCCTTTAGTTAAGTTGGTGATGCATGTTTCTAGCTAGTACTAAAATGTTATTTTCTTTTTTATTAAAGTAAAATTCAACTTGTTTCAGGCGAAATTTACATATATATTGGTATATGTTATAAAACTAGAGGGAAAATGTAGAGAGAAATAAGGGTGGAAGTAATGGATGTTATGGTGATTATTCACATTCCATAGATTTATAACAGTATAAGCAATAAAAGAATATTCTAACAAAATTATTTTGCCCTACTCGATCAAAGCGCACTCTAGGAATAAAAGAATTCAATTGCTAACCAAGCCTCAATCACGCACAAATATTTTCAAAAGAAAAGAATTGATACGACATTAGATCTAAAATTGAAGGCTTAATTAGTCAAAAGATGGAAACAAAAAAAATAAAAATAAAAATCAGAGCTTAGTTAGTCAAAAGATCAAAATTCAGAGATTACTTAGTCGAGTGCATTATCCCCCGGTGATTTGTGTAAACAGGAAACCAGATTTATCTATATATATAAAGCAAAAGGCAGAGAATGGTGAAACATTCAAAATACCAGAAAATGTCCTTAGTTAATTCAAACATTAAGAATTGAAATTATTAATTAAATGAGGATAATATTGTAAATTCATATTTTTTTTCATATTTTAAAAAATAAAAATAAAAACAAAATTAGATAATAGGTCTTACTTTTATGGAACATAACTACCCATGTTATCTTTTCTTTATTCAAAAAATAAAATAAAAATAAAAATAAAACCAATTGGCACATGCGTGATCGTGTGTCAAGGGGCTAGTTATTAAGCTAGACAGTCAGAAATAGACCTTTAGTTTGGCTAACTTGGGCTATAGCCCAGGTAGCTTTTTTTTTCCAGCAAAAAAAAATCATAGCTCACCCAATTTAAATAACCTAGCTTCCTTTAGTTCTCCTCCTTGCACAACACGTAGTCAATAAAAAGATAGAGAAAAAAACTCACACACAGCATGTAGGAAAAGAAAAGAAAAGAAGAAGCACCCTACCTTTGCACGTAGAGAAAAAAACCGCTCTTGTTGCTGCTGCACTCACCTTCAAGACTTAATTCAAGTGAACCAAGTTCCTATATTCATCAGGTAAGCTTCTCTCAATTGTTGATGTTTTAATTTGAGGATTTGTTTTTGAGTTTATGAACTATCAATTAGGATTTGCAATTTAAACTTATCAATTATCAATTAGGGATTTGCAACTGCGGCTTATCAATTTTAGGTTATGAGTTATGAATTATTAAATAGGATTTGTAATTGATCTTGCTTATTAATTAATAAATAGGTTTTTTTTTTTTTTTTTTTTTTTTTTTTTGAAATTGCATGGCATTGTTGAGTTTTCTATCTACTTAATACCTAAATTTAGCCCAACCCATTTTGAAATCCTGGGTCCATTCCCTGTAGATAGTAGTTCTGCATCTGCATTAAGAGCAAGAAAGAGGAATAGCAATAGACAAAGAAAACTAAAGAGATCAAAACCTAAGTCTGCAATATTTATCCATTTGATTAAAATGTAGTCATTTTTTGTTATAAAACTAGAGGGAGAAAATGTAGAGAGAAGTGATATGCTAAAGATAAAGTATCACCATGTTTATTCTTCTCTTAATCTTTGGTAGAACTACCTATTATAGGCTTACAAGATAGGAGATTGAATACCATCATTTGCAATATACCTATAAGTTACAACACTAATTACAAATACTTAGTGCATAGGTTACATAAAATCCAACGGTGGAATACTAAGAGGTATGGTGGTCATCCACCAACTCACGCATTTACAACACTCCCCCTTGGATGTCCACCATACAATGACATAGTTCCCTCATTAAAAACCTTGCTTGGAAAACCCAGTAGGACAAAACCAAAGCGAAGGGAAAAAGAGTGAAACTTTCTTCTGGATCATTGATATGGTGTTGGATATGCTTATGTTGCCTCGTTAAAACCTTGCTAGGAAAAACCCAGTGGGACAAAAACCTAGTCGAAGGGAAAAAGAGTACAATGCGCATATGTCCTGTATGTAGTAGAATTGGGATGCTCCCCTTGATTGATATCTCCCCCTGATTAATATCTCCCCTTCTCTGATTTGAGCAATACAAGCAACATTGTCTTCATACATGATCGTCTATCACACTATTCGACATGCTTTTCACTTTTCAAATGATTGAAATCTTTAGGAGCATCAACAACTAATTTAATAGTTAGAATATGTTACAACAATATCAAATTTGAATTCAAAATACTCAAACTCTTAGTGTTAACTCTTAATTAAGAATATTGTGGTACTTTATATCCTTCAAGGGGTCACTTCATCCGATATATCTCAAATATTTCATGAGCTTTGAGGATTTCCATGTACCATATAGTCTTAATAAATATGCATTTAACACATGCTATAAGTTTCGCGTTAAAATAACAACTGCACATATAGAAATGTGGATGCATCTACGATGAGATGGGAGACTAAAACCATGTCTCTACCAGGAAACCTTATGTCATATTAGTGATCTTATTTTACTTCACAAACACCAATTCGTAACCTTCATACTTAACATTTGTAATTCGGTGTTTGAGCTATAGGTTCAATATCCCACACTTCATATTTAGTGATGAATGGAATTGCCTATTTCCATTTTGGCCAATCACTTAACTTGTCGACATTCATAAGGCGATTTAATATAATCATAGCCCTTGATGATTGTAGTAGCTACTAATAAACCAAATGTATCATCAATTTGTGATCCCACAATTCTCATGTGCATGCGCATGCATAATTTGTAAGTATCTCATTGCTTTGGGGTACCAATGCCTATTCAGGGGCTGATGTTGTCACTTATGGAATAAACATCTCTTTTACGATGAATTAATTAGAGTATGTGGATCATAACCTCATATAGAGCGTTATTTTTTATAGGGCTTGAATTTTTCAAATAATCTCCACTTCTAGGGAGTTAAGTTTTTAGAACCTATATTTTTGTCATGCTCATAGTCACTTATTGTCATGTTAATGGATTGTGATACATGAATATCAATCCATGCTTGCATATGCATTATCTTGATGAGACAAAAGCGGACTGATTCAACACTATTTCATGACGTTCTTCAGGAACTGTAATTTCTCCCCCTAACGGTGGGAAAATTGTCTCAAAATGTAGGAAAATAAACTCACCATACTGGATTGGATAATGTGGGAGTAGTGCTCGTAAGCGTCTTGACAAGAGACAAATATGTAACCATTTTAGTAGGCACATTCAATAAAACTGGTGAAGTGATCCATAATTAAATGTTGTATAGGCTCACAAATATCCCCTTGAATTATTTCAGGAAAGAGGGCTCAAAGTCAATTTTTGACTGAGATGATCTTATGACAGCTTTTATTTGTGAGAATTCTTTGTAATGATATTTGTTGGACAAGACAATATTTTGAGTCTTTAAACAATGTCCTTACAAATTTATAAAAATCTTATGTATCATTGAGGAACATGGATTGCCAAGACAGTCATGCCACAACATAAAAGTTATCCGGTCAATGAACTTCTGGTTCATGACATTATAATCTTCAACTACTTTAATAATTGTGTAATATTGGGGCTTCATGAACTTCTGGTTCATGACATCATAAACTTCCTACCCACAAAATAAAGTAGGAATTTTCTCCAATTGACGCCTCTGGCTGTCAATATTGGGGCGGTAATACAAAATATTGCCATTGTAAAACGAAATTAACTGATAACCCAACATAAATAAAATAAAATAAAATAAGTAAAGTGGTATAAATGAGGAATAAAATAAATAAATTAAAGACTATAAATTTCTAAGATAATCCAATATTAATGTGGATTCAATATATAGATAAAACTACAAGTTTAAGAATTGGATTTCCAACCAATTTAAGTTCATATAGGCACAAATAAGTAATGAACTTCAGGTTCATATATAGTATTAAGATCCATGAAAAACTATGAACTTTAGGTTCATATTAACATATATTCGAAACTTCAGGTTCGAATACGTAGATCTAAATAAAATAAATTAATAGTTCTGCTTTGAACTTCATACTCAAACCGATGTATATGCACTCGAAACTTCTAGTTCGGGTTCTTGGCATATGTAGGCCTCATGGAATTTTGATTTTGATTCATACAAAATCAATGAGTTTCATGTGTTTATGTGCTCTTTAAATTCGTGGAACTTCATGCACTCAATTATTTGGAATCAAAGAACTTCGGGTTCTGATTCAATAAAAAAACTCCAAGTCTTAATCTAGTTATATGATGAGGATCGAGGAACTTCGGGCTCTGATCTTTTGTATAATACAAACTCATCATAATAATTAAGATCATACTTAAAATTAAATAAACAAACAAATAAAAAAAAACATGGCATTATATTAATGTGTAATAAGAATAAGAATTTTTTTTTCCTTAAACGAGCATGATGAAGTCTAATGGTGAGTACTAAGAAACTCTATACCATGTGATGACTCTAGCTCATATAAGAAGAATGAAAATTCAGAGAAAGAAAACATACCAAGAGCAATGTCGTACTGATAACGTGTTATAAAACTAGAGGGAGAAAATGTAGAGAGAAGTGATATGCTAAAGATAAAGTATCACCATGTTTATTCTTCTCTTAATCTTTGGTAGAACCACCTATTTATAGGCTTACAAGATAGGAGATTGAATACCATCATTTACAATATACCTATAAGTTACAAGCACTAATTACAAATACTTAGTGCATAGGTTATATAAAATCAAACGGTGGAATACTAAGAGGTATGGTGGTCATCCACCAACTCACGCATTTACAACATTTTTGTGTTTTTATGCAGTTATTCGTTTTTCTTCATTTTTGTATATTTATGAGGTTATTCTTTTTTCTTTGTTAGTTGCATCACGTGATTTGGCTCCTTAAAATTGACGAGGATCATATCCTAACAACAACTGAGATTTTGGCATTTGTTAAAGCTCAAAAGAAAAAAATATTAAAAACATTCCAAAAAAAAATTAAAGAAATTTTCAAATGTCAAAACTCCATTTGTTTTTAGTCCTTAAATTTTATTTTATTTTTGAAACTTTCTCAATTTTACTGGAATTTGACAAGTATTAAAATCATATAGGTTGAAAAAATATATATCCTCTTCAATTTTAAGAATCCAAGCAATTATCAAAGCAATGCTCACCACACTACAAAAAAAAGGGTCATTACCGACCAACATTCTCCGAGGGCCCCAAAATTTCCTCGGTAAAAGTGTTTTTTCCGACCAAAAAATACTGTCCATTGGAAATATGTCACGAGCCTGAAATTTATTTCCGACAAAGGAAATACCCTAGGCAAAAGTCTCAATTATCGTCGGAAATGTAATTTATTTGGTGGGAAGACTTGGCGCCAACTTTATTAACGACCAAAAGTACGTTTGACAGAAATAGGATGATTATTTCCGAGGGCTTTCTCTTTCCGTCGGAACTGTTTGACTATTTCCGAGGGGCTTCTTATTCCATCGAAATTGCTTGAACATTTCCGAGGGGTTCTCCTTTCGTCTGAATTGTTTGACTACTTTCGAGGAGAAATATGTCTTCTCGGAAAAACGTTTGAATGTCAATTTCCCATTAGAATAAATTAAAAAAAATTTGATTGATAATATTGTTAGCTAGGGAAGAAAACAGATTTTTTTAAAGAGAATTTGGTTATCATGTAGACCCAACAAACCCGATGCCAATATATATGGTAGTTGGTGGGGGCTGTGTTCCATGGGGGGTTGGTACAGTTTCATTCGCAAGTCTCTACACAAAACAAAACAAAGGCATTATCTGCATATGAAATGAAACCCAAATTAAAAATCAAAATGATATGAAAATTATAATTTGATGCACAAACCAAAGCTCTCTGTAGTGATATGCAGTTCTTATTTGAACCTATCAACTTTTTGGCCCCTCCCCCACAAAAAAGAAGAGCCTCGCTAGCTGTGAATTTCCCATTAGAATAAGTATAAAAAAAAATTGATTGATAATAACCAATCACACTCCAAAATAAATAACTAAAAATAGCCAATCCAAAAAAATAAGCAATCACAATTACATGACAACTCATCCCATAGTTGTAAGTTGAACACATCGATCCCTTCTTCAATCAATTTCATTGTCTTCAACATTATTTTGGATGGCATGCATGCTTTGAATTTGAGTCTCTGCTTCTTGGTATGGCTCAATCTCATCATTAGTCGTCTCATAAGCATTTCTTGGATTTGTTTCCACGACAAAACTCTAAATTTTATTTTTAACCCCCTTCACATAAAAAAACTTGGATTGCTTGGCTTGCTAATACGAATGGCTCTTGAGTATTTAGCTTGCGTGTTGTATTAACAGTGATTATTCCATAACGATCTATCTTGTAACCTATTCCTTTTACAATCAAATATGACAATGGCCAACTTACATTAAATAATCATTAAAACTGCCATGTGCATGATATTCATATTTACAATCAAATATGACAATGGCCATTCTCGCCCAGCAAGCAGGCAAAATTGATCAAAAATCGCCCTTCAATTCTTTTAATAACAAGGGTTCTCGAGTTCAATGGTCATTTTTTTACATGTTCTGGGGAATGAACTTTGTGAAAAACATAAAATCATATGAATATGTAAAAAATATAAAATCATATGAACATGTGTGTACAGAATATGATGTTATAGTAGTGTAGATATTCAAAGAAATTGAAGACAGTTCTACACTGATATGTACAATTAACAACCTCAATTAAAACACCACCGATGTATACATTATCGTTTGCATTATTGGCAACGGCATATGATTTTATAGTAATATACATATCCAAAGAAATTGAAGACAGCTCTCACTGACATGAACTATCAACAACCTCAATGAATACCCAATCGATATGTCATCGTGTGCATTATATTGTGTATTAATTGAGGTTGTTAGTAGTACATGTCAGTGCAGAGTTGTCTTCAATTTCTTTGGATATGTACACTACTACAACATCATCGTTTGCATTATTGCCAACGTCATATGTTGTTATAGTAGTGTACATATCCAAAGAAATTGAAGACAACTCTCATTGACATGAACTATTAACAACCTCAATGAATACACCACCGATATCATTGTTTGCATAATTCATTGAGGTTGTTAATAGTACATGTCAATGCAGAGTTGTCTTCAATTATTTTGGATATGTGCACTACTGTAACATCATATGACGTCGGCAATAATGCTAACAATTATGCCAAATCTTTTAATATCAAGGGTTCTCAAATTCAATAGTCATTTTTCACATGTTCTGGAGATTCAACTTGTGAAAAATGTGACATCATATAAATATAAACATGTGTGTATCCAGAATATGTGAAAACAAACACCACCAAATGTTAAATCCAAAGTACAGCAGATGGTCCAACTTCGAGACTGACATAAACGAACAAGATTACTCCATTAAAAACCTGCAATGCAAGAAAAAAAAATGGAAAAAATGAGACTACAATCACTACTACAAAAAGTGACAAAGACGACCAGAAAAAAAAGACGGTCTAAGTGAAAACCGTCGTTGTTTTTTAAAAGACAACGGTTCTATAAAACCGCCGTGTAATAACACCTTAGACACCTAAAAAATGGAGATTCAAATGGTTGTTCCTAAAACACGACGTACCTAATTAAAAAACCAACGTCTTATTGAAATAGGATTTCCGAGTAGTAAAATCAAAGCCAACAAAGAACGGCAGAAGTTATGAATCGATCGACGTAGAAAGTAAAGACGACGATTTCAAAAAAAGCCGCTGTTTTTACCTAGAAATTAACACGACCAAGTTTTCGTATAAGGCGCCGTATAATTACAAATAAATCCACTGCGGTAAAATACAAAATACCGCCGTATTAAATTAATGTACAACTACGGCAAAGATAAATATAACGACGTCTTTCTCGTATAGTTCTACGACGGTATCTTTAAATCTCACCACGTTGGGGTTTACATTTAACGACGTATTATAAAATTTAACGTCGTATTTATTCACTTTATACGTCATACATTATATTTAAACCGTCGTCTTAATAAGAATTTTTTTTAACAATTTATTTCTTGGATTTTGTTATCCTACGTCGGTAGTATTTTTCTGAGATCACAAGGGTTAGGAAATCTTACAAGATGGAACTCTGTTCCTCATCATAATCTTACCAGAAAGACAATAACACACATACACATTAACATCCAAAAAATTGCCTCTGAAATTTGACGACGGCAGCCTCAAATTTGCAATAAGAGAGACAATTGTTTGGAAGTTGATGATGTGTGTGCGTTTGTGTATCGACACAAACGCACACACACATCAACATCCAAACAATTTCCTCCTAAAATTTCATGATGGCAGCCATAGATTTGCAATCAGAGAGACAATTTTTTGACAATTGGTGATGTGTGTATGTTTGTGAATCAGATACACAAACATACACACACACCAACATTCAAACAATTGCCTCCTAAGAGATGAGGTGAGACAAAGAAAGGGGAAAGAAGAAGTTGAAACCCTAATCGAATACTAAAACTGAAAGAACCCATGAAAAAAAACCCTATTTATAATTAAAAAACCAAATCCACGTTGGTTATATTACACCTAACGACGTTTAACGAAAAGAATCCACGTCGCGGAACAAATACATTACGTTGTCTTAGTCTTACTTAAGACGACAAAAAAAGACAACGGTATAACAAAAAACAGTTGTTGTTTTTATATTCGTATTTGATTTAAATCAGTCACCCAAAAAAGAAACTTTACAAATTCTAGAACATTAATTTCCTTCATTTTAAATTTCCTCGGGAAAAAAAAACTCTATTTATAACGCACTGTTTTTAAAAAATAAAATGAAAGAACACGGGAAAAAAAATTCTATTTATAATTATAAAAATAAAATCCACGTCGATTATATTACACCTAACGACGTTTAACAAAACGAATCCATGTCGCGAAAAAAATATTGCGTCGTCTTAGTTAAAAAAAACGACGATGGAACAAAAAACCGTCGTTGTCCCAAACAAGAAACTTTACAAATTCTAGAACATTAATTTCCGTCATTTTAAATTTCCTCGGGAAAACAAACTCCATTTATAACGCACTGTAATCGAAAACTAAAACTGAAAGAACTCGGGAAAAAAAATACTATTTATAATTAAAAATAAAATCCACGTCGGTTATATTACACTTAACGACATTTAACAAGATAATCTACGTCGGTAATTATAAACCTACCGCCATCTTACTTTAATATACTACGACGACAAAAAAGACGACCAAAAAAGACGATGGTAGAACAGAAAACCGTCGTTGTTCCAATTTCTTTAACCGTTCTCTTTCTGCAGGACTTGGATAGTTCAAAGCATTGATAGCTGAAGCCATCTGATTCGATTGCTCAGGCTTTAGAGGCCATCTGAAGCCATTTCTATTCTTTATCGCATTCTTGAAAACCCATCTTCTTCTTCAGAAGCTCTACGGATAAAGGAACAGGCTATCACAAATATGACGGATCTTCTTAGCCAAGAAAATCGAGTAAAGGAGCACATCTGATCTTCAGGTTTCCCTGAGAAGCGAACTTTCCTTCGACACCGAGTGGAGGCCAGGCTTGCATAAGTCTCCTATCAGGCTTGACAAGCTTCCTCTTGTGGACATAGATTTGTTGGAGAGTAAGCTCCATTTCTCTTTGAGAAAGACATCCAAATTATTGTCTTTGAGATGTGAGAGAGAGTGTCTGTGAGAGAGGAAGAACTTGGAAACCTAAATGAAAACTGAAACTGAAAGAAAGCGACAAATTTATACAATAAATTTTTAAAACCCACGGCGGTCCTTACACACAAACCGCCGTTTAATTCTAAAATCCACGTCGGTATATTACAAAAAAACGACGTATATTATAAAAATCAACGTCGGTATCTTACAAAAAAACGACGTGTTAAATACTTCTACCATGACGAGAGATATTAATTTATTGACTTTTATTTTGGAGTTTACTACGATGATACCTACAACACTACTGTCGTATTTATTTACCAAGTCCTAAGTTCAAATTATCGTCGTAGTTTGTTTATTTATACGTTGTCGTTCTATGTAAACCGCCGTCTTATTTTTATGAAACGGTTTGTATATATATACAACTTTTCGTCTACCTGACTTACACATGCACTGTTTCCAAACCCGAGAAAAAATTTCAATCTCCCAGAGAAAACTTTTCGTCTTTTTTCCTTGTCAGAGCACTGTCAGAGTATCTCATCGTCTTCCTCTCGTCTTCGTCGTCATCTCTGAACTTAAACACCAAACTCCGAGAGAAAGCTTTCATTGCAGGCAAAAGGTAAGCTTTCATTTCTCACTATTTTTGTTGCTATTTTGCATGCTCATACGGTTTTTGTTTTGAAAATCTTTTTACCTTTTTTCTGGCCAAAATCATTTTAATTCTTTCCAAGTTTGATAAAATATACAGACAAAGAGGGAAAGTTTCCAACGTTGAACACAACTACTTCAACTAAATAAGACGACGATAACTTCTTATTTACGTGGTTAAATATGTAGACCACGACGGTTCGTAAATCGTCCTAGCGTCGTCTGAAAATTAATCTAAGTTGTTTTTAAAATGACCGTCGTTTTTTTATTTGCTTGTTTAATTGCAAGTTTGATTTCTCTGAACCATGGTTTTTGTTTTTCCTAATTTGATAAAATACAAAGACAAATAAAGTAGGGTTTGGTATCTTATATAGACGACGGTATCTTATTATTGACGCCGTGTGAATGTTAATACCACGACTTTATACTAAGATACCGTCGTCTATATAAGATGCCAAACCTTTCTTTCTTTTTCTTTGTATTTTATCAAATTAGGAAAAACAAAAACCATGTTTCAGAGAAATTAAACCTGCAATCATCAAACATTCACAGAGAAAGAAAAAGGTTTTTGGATTCTTATACAGACGACAGTATCTTATTATTTACGTTGTGTGAATGTCCATACCACGACGTTATATTAATATTAACATCGTTTGAAATTAAATATCATGACTTCGTGTAAATATTGCCGTAATAAGTTCTTATTACGTCTTCTTTTATATTGTTTCGTCGTTGTTTAAGTACTCTCATTTTAGACTTTTATTACGTCTGATGTTGGAGAGTAAGCTCCATTTCTCTTTGAGAAAGACATCCAAATTATTGTCTTTGAGATGTGAGAGAGAGTGTCTGTGAGAGAGGAAGAACTTGGAAACCTAAATGAAAACTGAAACTGAAAGAAAGCGACAAATTTATACAATAAATTTTTAAAACCCACAGCTGTCCTTACACACAAACCGCCGTTTATTTATAAATTCCACGTCGGTATATTACAAAAAAATGACGTATATTATAAAAATCAACGTCGGTAAATTACAAAAACACGTCGTGTTAAATACTTCTACCATGACGCGAGATATTGATTTATCGACTTTTATTTAGGAGTTTACTACGACGGTACCTACAACACTACTGTCGTATTTATTTACCACGTCCTAAGTTCAAATTATCGTCGTAGTTTATTTATTTATACGTCGTCGTTCTATGTAAACCGCCGTCTTATTATTATGAAACGGTTTGTATATATATACAACTTTTCGTCTACCTGACTTACACATGCACTGTTTCCAAACCCGAGAAAAAATTTCAATCTCCTAGAGAAAACTTTTCGTCTTTTTTCCTTGTCAGAGCACTGTTAGAGTATCTCATCGTCTTCCTCTCGTCTTCGTCGTCGTCTCTGAACTTAACAACCAAACTCCGAGAGAAAGCTTTCATTGCACGCAAAAGGTAAGCTTTCATTTCTCACTATTTTTGTTGCTGTTTTGCATGCTCATACGGTTTTTGTTTTGAAAATCTTTTTACCTTTTTTCTGGCCAAAATCATTTTTATTCTTTCCAAGTTTGTTATTTTTTAGGTAAATAAGACGACGGTAGCTTCTTATTTACGTGGTTAAATATGTAGACCACGACGGTTCGTCAATCGTCCTAGCGTCGTCTTAAAATTGATCTAAGGTGTTTTTAAAATGATGGTCGATTTTTTATTTGCTTGTTTAATTGCAGGTTTGATTTCTCTGAACTATGGTTTTCGTTTTTCCTAATTTGATAAAGTACAAAGACAAAGAAAGTAGGGTTTGGTATCTTATATAGACAACGGTATCTTATTATTGACGCCATGTGAATGTTAATACCACGACGTTATACTAAGATACCGTTGTCTATATAAGATGCCAAACCTTTCTTTCTTTTTCTTTGTATTTTATCAAATTAGGAAAAACAAAAACCATGTTTCAGAGAAATTAAACCTGCAATCAAACATTCACAGAGAAAGAAAAAGGTTTTTGGATTCTTATACAGACGACGGTATCTTATTATTTACGTCGTGTGAATGTCCATACCACGACGTTATATTAATATTCACGTCGTGTGAATTTAAATATCACAACGTCGTGTAAATATCGCCGTAATAAGTTCTTATTACGTCTTCTTTAATATTGTTTCGTTGTTGTTTAAGTACTCTCGTTTTAAACATTTATTACGTCTGATGTTATGTTATTGCGTCGTGTAAAATCTTATCATACGTCGTGTTTTATAAATAACTGTCATTTGTGTTCTTAATTTTTTCCTGAAATATTTTCACTTGCAGGTTTATTTTTTCTGTAACCATGGTTTCTCAAGACCAAAGTAAGGACTCTGGTTCCTCAAGACAAGCCCTTGAAGAAGATGAAGTTTGTTTCATCTGCTGAGACAAAACCAACCAGCACGACAACAATTTCTGAGGATTCAAAGTCAGGTCGAGGTATGAGCACAATGTCTCGTGTTGTGAAGAGAAAATTGCAGAAAATCAAGCCAGTTGTTGAGTAATAAAAGGGGGAAAGGATGTGGCCCTGCACATACTGAGATGCAGTCCTACATTGGTGTGTTGGCACGCTCCAGAGTCCCACTTGTGGACAAGAAATGGGCTGAAATCCCCAAGGATATAAAGGAGCAGATTTGGGAAGCCGTTGACATGGCTTTTGTGGTAGGTCAAGGGGGCAAGACCTCAGTATTATCTTCTGCTGCCAAGAAATGGAAGGATTTCAAGTCTACACTAACGAGGCATTATATCCATCCATACATCAAGGAGAGGGTGAAATTAAGCCAACCCCCTGAAATATATAAATTCATAGAGAAAGCAGAATGGGATGCCTTTGTAGCTTCAAGGTTATCCAAAGAATTTGAGTCTGTGCATTCTCAACATTCACATATTAGGGAGAAACTTGAGTACAATCATCGATTGTCTCGAAAAGGATATGCTGGTTTGGAGGATTAATTGGAGGAAACCATGCCTGGGGTAGAAATTGATCGATCTACCTTATGGAAGAAAGCTAGACAGGACAAACATGATAACATCCCGGATCCAAAGGTGGCAGAGAAAGCAAAATTAATTGTAAGCCTACACACTCTGTTTTAAATTTTATTAAACTATGTATAATTCTTATTACGTCGTATGTTATATTTTTCCGTCGTGGGAATGATATTACTACGTCGAAATGTTTTAAAAAAACGTCGTGAAAGATCTAAATCTGGAATCACAACTCTATTTTCTGTAATTATAGCATAAGACGTCGGTGGTTAATTTTTGCGTCGTGTGAATGATATTACAACGTCGAAATGTTTTAAAAAAACATCGTTAAAGGTCTGAATTGGAATCACTGCTATGTTTTCTGTAATTATAGCATAAGAAGTCGGTGGTTTATTTATTGCGTCGTTTGAAACAACTAACCACGTCGTTATTTAAGTAACGTCGTTATAAATATATTATAACGTCGATTTCTATGTTATTGTGTCGTGTGAAATTATATAATACGTCGTTTGTTTATAAATAACCGTCGTGTGTTTTCTTGTGCTGACTTTTTTATATGTCTTTGTTTTAGGATGAATTGCAAAAACAAGTGGCTGAAGGCAGTCTTAGTGTATTTGGCAATAATGATGTGTTGACCTTGGCTTTGGGTCACGAGCATCCAGGGAGAGTAAGAGGGTTAGGTGCTGGGATTTCCCCTAGGCAATACTTCAATTTACCTAGACAACAGAGGGTAAAGTTTGCTGATCAATTGAAGGAAAGTGTAAGAATTGTCCTTCAAGAAGAGACTAAGAAGATGGAAGCTAGATCAAGGGAAGAGACTTTAAGGATGGAGGCTAGAACCAAGCAATTGGTAGAGGCTGAGAGGGAACATTTTCTGAGTCAGCTTTCCCAACTCATCCCCAATTTTGATCCAAGCATGCTTAAACCGAAAACTAGCCCCTGTCAAAACCAAGGTCTAGAGCAAAGTCCCAAAAATCCAATGTCTGACAAAGCAAGCTGCTCTGGGGCTGATGTGAGATCCCTACATTTAGAGGATGATACTGCCAAAAATGGGGAACAGCAGGAAGAAACGGTAACATATCTGAACTTTGAATTCTCTGTTTTTTTAAAAACTATTAGACGTTGTTATTATGAAGAAAACCGTCGTTTTAAAATCATACCACGATGATTTTATAAATAAACCGTCGTTTGTATTTCAATACCACGTCGTATTTCGTTTACTTGTTTTACACGCCATTAGACGTCGTACTTTGTGGTTTTTAGACGACGGTTTTAGTCCTTACCGACGTAATAGACAAATCCCACGACGTTTATTATTTACCATCGTTTAATAATTTTAAGATGTCCATAATTCTTACATACCGTCTTATGTTATGCCTTACCACGACGTTTTGATTTAATTTTTTTACTTCCTGTACAATCTGTCTTATATATATATATATATCTTTATTACTTAAAACAGAAATCTGGGGCTTTAGAAAATCAAGATGAAGAGAAGAAAGAAGAAAAAAAAGATGAAGAGAAGAAGGAAGAAAAAAAAATGATGAAGAGAAGAAAGAAGAAAAGAAAGAAGAAAAACAAGATGAAGAAAAGCATGACGAAGAGGTATATTCTCATAACTTTGCCTTTTTTATTTGTTTTTCAAATTTCAGACGTCGATATTTTTCTTTAAACCGTCTTTTGTTTTCAAATTAGACGTCGGAATTTGTTTCCTATGACGTAATAAATTATTCAACACGACGGTTTTTTATTACTGTCATTTAAATTATTATCAGACGACGTTGTTTTATTTAAACCGTCGTTTTTATTGAATTATCACGTCATTACCACGTCGTTTTTATTGAGGTGCCATCTTCCTTACAATCCCATTGTCATTATGTGGAAACGACACTAAAGCCTCAGGAGAAGATCATGACCTTCAACATTGAGAAGGAGGTGTTTGGTGCAGATCGCAGTACCTTCGTCTTGCATGAAGATATTACACAGTTTGTAGGCATGGAAGAAATTGGGGCTACTGTGGTTGCAATATATATGAGGTTTGTCCTTATCAAATATTTAATTCACACTCAAATTTGTGTTTGAGAAAAAAAAATATAGCATAAGACGTCGGTGGTTTATTTATTGCGTCGTTTGAAACCACTAACCACGTCGTTCTTTTTTTCCGTCGTGACAAATTAGTTATAACGTCTGTTTCTATTTCAATTCGTCGTGTGAAATTGTATAATACGTCATTTGTTTATAAATAATCGTCGTGTGTTTTTTGTGCTGACTTTTTTTTATATATCTTTGTTTATATATTTAGGTGCTTATATGATCGTTTGAGAGAAGCAAATATGTGCAGCATGGTTGGCTTTATCGACCCTGCTCAAGTTAGTGCCAACGCTGGGTCACTAACTGAGAGGTCACGAATTGTAGCCAGTCGTCTTCAGAAGACAGATGGTGAACAGATTTTCATGATGCCTTACAATCCAGGGTTAGTCTCCTTAAAAGGATTTTGTTTGTATGATTTTCACTAACTGACTGCGTATAAAGCTGTTTAACTAATTTTGTGTTGTTTGAAACATCTAAAGACGTCGGTTCTTTATTTATTGAGTCGTTTGAAACAACTAACCACGTCGGTAGTTAATTACCGTCATGATAAATTTATAATCACGTCGATTGTACGTTATTACGTCGTAATAAACTGTATAATACGTCGGGTTTTATAAATAACCGTCGTTTGTTTTCTTGTGCTGACTTTTTATATTAACCGTCGTTTTTTATGTTAATTTTGTGCAGCCGTCATTGGGTCTTGCTGATTGTGAGAGCAAAGAGGGAAACCGTCTATTTTCTGGATCCTCTACCTGGAAATTGTGTGGTTGATGAGGAGGGCAAAAACATTGTGAACAGTGCTTTAAAAATTTATAATTCCCACATAGGCAGACCAGGCCGTAAAGCACCAATTTGGAAAACTCTGCCAGGCACACCAAAGCAACCCAGCAGTGTCGAATGCGGGTATTATGTGATGCGCTTCATATGGGACATCATCATGGATCCTTCCTTGGAGTTTGAGAAGAAGGTAAGAAGAAAATTTTCATAAACATTTTATGTGGTTTTTTGTATTATCAACGACGGTCCTTTAAAATTACCGTCGTTAAATCGATATACTACGTCAGTTATGAAAAATAGCGTCGTCTATGTAACACCCCGACTCCAAATTTATTCCTATTTTAATTAAATTAAGAGAATTATTAATTTACTCTTGGGTTAAGGGTAATTTTGGTCATTTTCTTATCCAGAAGGATTTCGGGACCACGAGTGTTTGGTTGCGTAGGTGGTACTGAGACGAAACCGTGGACAGGCGGTAGACTTGAATCGGAGTTGTAACGAAGTTTTGGCGATCAAAATAAGTTCGGTGGCAGAACCGTAATTATTTCAAAGTGAGTTTGGGGTAAAATCAGATTTTTTCACATTTACCCCTCACTTTCTCTCTCTCTCTCCCGTGTCTCCTCCCTCTGCGTCAAACCCATTCCCGTCACTGTGCAAGCCGAACGGAAACCACCGTGCCGTCGCCGCCACAGTCCACGACAACCCTCGAGACCAGTCCCGTTCGACTCGTCGTGAAGTCCCGATTAAGACCCACCCAATTTCCTTGCCGGAAAGCCGGAGAATCGTCGACGGTATCGACTGGTTCGAACCGGAAGTTTCCGATCGTTGCGCCGCCGCCTCCGCCGTCTGTTTCAGGTAAAGTTGGTGAGTTTTCTTCTCCTTTTTACGTTCTCTAGCTGTTTTTGGGGTTAGATTAGAACGATTTTGAAGTTTGGAAGTTGATTTTGGAAGCTAGGTTTTGGCCGGTTTTCAATTGGAAATTCCGGCCAGTTCCCGTGCGAATTGGACCTCGTGGTAGTTGAATAAAGTGATCCTGACCCTGAGAAGAAGCTAGGGTAGGAAGGGTGAGCGTTGGTGTGGAGATTTTCCGTCGCCGGAAATTCCTCTACACACCCACGCGCTGCTGGCGCGTGTGGCGGCGCGTGGGCAAGGCTGTTGAAGTTGCTTTTCATCCTGATGAGATCAGTAGGTTGTCACGAGTGCGTAGGATTTTACGGATCTCAATTTGGATGTCGTTTGACTATCGAACGGATTTCGCATATTGTGCGTTATTAGGGTTCGATAAGTTCTAACCGTTGGATCGTTCCCAAACTGAAGTATGTTGATTTAGGTACTCTTAGAATCCTATAGGAATTCGCGGATCGTGAATCGGAGCCCCGGATGTTCCGATTCAATAATTCGAAGTTTGTGGGATTAGCGATAACCGTAGGATGGGAAGCGATTCCCAAACCTGTAACCGGACCTTAGGATATCCTATTGGACGTACACGCACCGGGATCTTGGGGATTTAAGTATTCTCTTTTGTGAATTCCCGTTTCGAAGTGTATTATATTAATCAAGGGTTCGTATCTCGAAATAGGTACTTCGGTCGATCGTTCCCAGCAGGCAGGACCCTCTCGGGGTCGGGCAGCGTGGGATTACCTGTGAGTGGACTTTGTTTTCAAGCATTTGCATGGTTTTATTGATAAAAGATTTGTGCATATGTTTTAAATGGAAATGTGATTTATTAAGTATTTGGTTGATGACTTTGGATATTCATATACGTATTGGCAATATATTTTGAGTATGGCTATGTTTGAGTATTATGGATATGTTTATATGGATTGTGGGATGTCTATCTATATTGCCTATATATAGAGTATGAGGAGTTGATGTTGTGAGATTGTGCTATGTATGGAGTATGAGGAGTTGTTATGAGATTGTGGAAAGATATGAGTTTGAGGGATGGTTGTGAGATGTATGAGTATGTTAGGTGAGTACCATTCCCTGGTTACTAGGCTTCCCACACATGGTGTTGGCAGTGCCGGTGTGGTGGGAAGGCCATGAGATTGCTGGTCTCATACATGGCGTTGGCAGTGCCGGTGTATGGGAAGAGTATGTATATTGCTTAGTATCATCACACATGGCGTTGGCAGTGCCGGTGTGGTGATGATACTGTCTGCGCGCGTAGGACTTGATATGAGATTTGTGAGCTACACGTGGCGTTGGCAGTGCCGGCGTGTGAGCTATGGAGTTCCGTCCCCCGGTTGGACTACTCATCCCTGGACGCGGGTTCATGTTCGAAAATCCTGCGTACCAGCCAACAATCCCCCGGTTGGATTGTCTTCCCCGGTACATTAGTATGGAGAGAAGTATACGTTATATTATAGATATATATACTTATAAATGTATACATATGTATGGGTTGATGAGAGTTGCATCCTTTTGGGAATGGAGTTGTGGTTTGAGATTTTTGAGAGTTATTGGTCTTTGAGGGTTTATGTTTGAGTATTTGATTTATGGATGTGGAAACTGCATGCTTGAGCATTATTTTTACACGGTGGGGTTACTATGTTGTTTTAAATGCAAACTTTATTTTTGTCCACTCACATATTTCCGTTTTGCGCCCCCCAGGCAGTAGTGGCTTTTGGAAGCGCTCAAGCAAAGTTGCGAGCTCCAACTTTCCATCTGTAGATAGGGTTCGTGTAAATTCCTTCTACTCTACTGTTGTTGTAAACAAATTCTGTTAGATGCTCTGTTATCGCCCATGTTAGGTTGTTACTTGAGGCCGGAGGCCACTTTACTTTGGATTGTTGTGTGTTGAAAGCATGCTGGCAGTTGGGAATTATATTATGTAAATTATGCAGGTTGAATGTGTTGGGTTTGAGCATCTTACAGGGGAGACTCTGCCAAAATTTTGGTAGGATGTCTTGAGTTTTTAGTAAGTGGGCCCGGCATCGGTGTGATGTCGGCAACAATACGGGGTCCGCCCCGGTTTGGGGAGAAATTCCGGGGCGGGTCCTGTCAGTCTATGATTGAATTTCTTTTTATTTTGTAAAGCTTAATAATCATTGTTTACGGATTGCAGTTTGCCAAGGGAAAAGAGCAGGCGCCATACCCCCAAGCAGCCATTGATGAAGTCCGGAATGAATGGGCAGATCTTGTTTGCCTTCATATGGAGTAGAGGATTTTTGGAACACTTGATATTTTTATATGTACAAATTTTGTCTATAATATATAATGTACAAATTTTGTCTACAATATACATCCTTTTTTTCCCTGAAAATTTGTTGAGGTTTTCATAATTTAAAAGAAAAAACAAATTGCGTAACCGACGTGTAATAACTTTCCAACGACATAATTATGTCAAAGACCGACGTAAAAGGATATTTAGATGACAGATATGACGTGGTAATTAAATTACACGGCGCACCTTTTTTGTTTAAGTCGTGATATACCGTTTGTACGTCCATGGGACGTCATTTTAGTGAAAATTTCGCCATGGTTTCGCTTTTAAACGACGTCCTTTGAACAAGTAAGTCGTTTATTATATAATTTAGAGTTTAGGGTTTAGGTTATTACTTTTTAACGACGGTGATTGAGTCGTGGAATATTGAGTTTACGTCGGATGGTGAAACATCCGCCATGGTCTCTCTTTTTAACGACGTCCTTTTTACAAGTGAGTCGTTTATTATTATTTACAACGTCATTAATTACTTAACCCCGACGTGGTTTGTTGTTGATATAAGAATATTTTATTATTTTTAATTCAAAATATTCAAAATAAATTTAAAATAAATCCAAAAAATGCAACGTCAACTTCTATGAAGTCATTGATATATTTTCTTCCCCCTAAACCTCAAAAAATGCAGTTTGAGTAATAAAAGTTTAAAATGACCACCCAAAATAAAATTGTTTTGATGAGTCATAACATCACTTATAGTTTGATGGTTTAGGGTTTAGGGTTTGGGGTTTAGGGTTGTTATTTATTAGGGTTTAGGGTTAAAGTATAATTTTTGGGGTTTAGGGTTTATGTTTGTTATATATTAGGCTGTAAAACCATAAAAAAATTTTATAAAATTATATTTTAAAAATATATAATTTAGGATTTAAAGTTTAGGGTATTACTTTTAACGACGGTGATTGAGTCGTGGAATATTGAGTTTACATCGGATGGTGAAACATCCGCCATGGTTTCTCTTTTAAACGACTTCCTTTTTACAGGTGAGTCGTTTATTATTATTTACAACGTCGTTAATTAATTAACCCCGACGTGGTTTGTTGTTGATATAAGAATATTTTATTGTTTTTAATTCAAAATATTCAAAATAAAATTAAAATAAATCCAAAAAATGCAACGTCAACTCCTATTGGTTCAATAGACGACGTGGTTTTTTCAAAATAAATGGCGTTATGTTCAGTGTTTGAGTCATGGAATACTATATTTACGTCGGTTTTGGTAGAACTTTCGCCATGGTTTTTCATAGTTTTGACGACTTCTGTTTGATTTTGCGTCGTACATAGTTTTACCACGACGTCTTTAATGTAATAAGCGTCATGTTTAATGTGAACTTTTAACGACGGTTGTTTTTTCAGTCGATGTTTTAAAGAGCGCGCTTTCTAAAAATATTTGCGGGGCCTAAAATTTTCAGATTTGGCTCTTAGTTTTATACTTCTAACCCTGAACCCTAAAATTTTCAGATTTCGCGCAACATAACATTTTGCTCTCTCACTTCATCTCTAATTCAAAGTTGGGCTTTCCAGGCTCTGTCGAATCCAAGTAGGCTATAATCTGTGAGCTCTGCCAACCTGTAAGTACAAACCCTCTCTTCCCCTTGTAAATTCATTGAATGATATTACGTTGTTTTGTTAAAGGGTTTTAGATATATGTTTTGCGATCTGTTAATAATGTTGTTGGAGGTATGGGTTCATGGATTTTCTGTTTAATGTTTTCTTGATCACTCTCTGTTATGTTGAATAGGGAATGGATTTAATTTTGTCGGATCTTTTAATCACTCTCTGTTATGTTGAATTGGGAATGGATTTATTGTTTTCATGCTTAGTATATGTTGGTTTCATGTATATGTTGTGTTCGTAATAGGGTTTTGGGATCTTGAAAATAAACTGGGATATCGACGCGTTTTTAGGCATACGACAATGGTTTTTTTCATAAACCGTCGTTTGTATTACTTATACACGACGGTGTTCTTTAACTACCGTCGTGGTTATAATTAGACGACGTTTGTTGAAAATCCGTCGTCTATATATGTCAAATACGTCTGTTTTTGTTTAAAAACCGTCGTCTGTGTTGTATATTACTTGCTATTAGAACTTTATATAATCTGCTATAGTGATGGTCATTGCTTGTCTTTTCACTTTATTATATATAATAGGGTATAGTGTCGGAGATGGATAAGTCATGGATGCACTCGGATAGAAGATCGAAGGCATATGAGTTAGGGGTGGAAGCATTTTTGAACTTTTCTGTAGAAAATCTTCTAACTACAACACATATCCGTTGTCCATGTGTTAAATGTGTTAATTTGAAATTGTTTGGGGTTGGAATTATAAGGGATCACTTATACTTTAATGGAGTTGACCAAAGCTATAAGAATTGGACATTTCACGGAGAACCTTGGGAAGCAACTACTAATGCTAGTAGAAATGTTGAAGAAGATGATGACCATAGTAGGTACAATTTTGTGTCTGAAGAAATAGAGATGGATGATAATGATTTTGGTGATTTTGGATTTGATCCTTATGAGTTTGCCAATGTGATTGGGGATGGAGATCAACCATTGTACCCTGGTTGTAGAAAGTACACGAAGTTATCGGCATTAGTGAAGTTGTATAATTTGAAGGCAAAACATGGGATGAGTGATGTCTGTTTTACAGAATTATTGATACTTCAAGGCGATTTGCTTCCAGAAGGAAATACAATACCGGCCTCTATGTATGAGGCAAAAAAGACTTTGTGTGCATTGGGGCTGAGTTATGAGAAAATGCACGCATGCCCCAATGATTGCATCTTGTATAGGAAGGAGTATGAGGATTCAACTAATTGTCCTACTTGTGGTATCTCAAGGTGGAAGGAAGGCAAAGATTCAATCTTGAAAGAGGGTGTGCCAGCGAAGGTGGTGTGGTATTTTTCTCAAATTCCAAGGTTTAAAAGGATGTTTCGATCACATGAGACAACTAAGAGTTTGACTTGGCATGCTGCTAGAAAATCAATTGACGGTCATATATCTCATCCGGCGGATTCCCCGTCTTGGAAATTTCTTGATGATAAATGGCCCGAGTTTGGTAATGAGCCGAGAAACTTGAGATTGGCTCTTTCATCTGATGGATTCAATCCCCACAGTTCTCTAAGTAGCAGATATAGTTGCTGGTCAGTTATCTTAGTTACATATAATCTCCCTCCATGGCTGTGCATGAAACGAAAGTTCATGATGTTGACCTTATTGATTTCCGGTCCTAAACAGCCCGGAAATGATATAGACGTCTACTTGGAGCCTTTGATTGATGATTTAAAATCTTTGTGGGATGGGATTGGAGGAGTGTATGATGCACATAATGGAGAATACTTTACACTCAGAGCTGCATTAATGTGGACAATTAATGATTTCCCCGCCTATGGAAACTTATCTGGTTGTGTTGTTAAAGGATATAAAGCTTGTCCAATATGCGGCGATGATACACCTAGTCACAGGTTGAAAAATGGCCACAAAATTTGTTACATTGGGCATAGAAAATGGTTACCAATCAATCATCCATATAGGAGGCAACGTGCAGTTTTTAATGGGAAACCTGAATATGGCACGCCTCCCGAGCCATTAACCGGAGAAGAAGTGTTGCATATGGTTGAAGATGGTGACAGAGTTTGTTGGAAGAAGAAATCAATATTCTTTGATCCCGAGTATTGGAAATACCTTCCTGTGAGGCATGTCCCAGATGTTATGCACATTGAGAAGAATGTTTGCGATAGTATCATTGGTACATTGCTGGAGATCCCTGGAAAAAATAAAGATGGGATTGCTGCTCGATTAGATTTATTGAACATGGGGGTCAAAACTAATTTGCAACCCGAGTATGGAGAAAGACGTACTCGTTTGCCTCCCGGGCCTTGGAATTTGTTAAGAGCAGAGAAGAGAGAGGTTTGCAATTCTTTCTATGGTATGAAGGTCCCTGAAGGTTATTCTTCAAATATAAAAAATCTTGTATCTTTACAAGATTCAAGACTTCTTGGCCTTAAATCACATGATTGTCATACCTTAATGCAACAATTGCTCCCTGTGGCAATTCGTCCTGTTTTGGAGAAGCCTGCAAGGTATGCAATAACTCGTTTGTGCTTCTTCTTCAATGCTATATGTGCAAAGATTGTTGATGTTTCCAAGCTAGATAAGTTGGAAGAAGATGTAGTAGTTACTTTGTGTTTGTTTGAGAAGTACTTTTCCCCTTCATTCTTTGATATCATGGTTCATCTAGTAGTACATCTTGTCAGAGAAGTTCGTCTATGTGGGCCAGTATATTTTAGATGGATGTATCCGTTTGAAAGATATATGAAAGTGCTAAAGGGGTATGTTCAGAATCGTACTCGTCCCGAAGGTTGCATTGCTGAGCGGTATATAGCTGAAGAAGCTGTAGAGTTTTGTACCGAGCATTTATCTTATGTTAGTACAATTGGAGTGCCTTCAAGCCAAAAGATGGGAGTTTCAAAGCCAGTATCAGGTTGCACAGTGAGCGTAGTTGATTGGGACCTGTTGAACCAAGCACATCTATATGTCTTGGAGAATACGGAGGAAGTCCTACCTTATATCGAGTACGTATGAGTTTTATTCTTTAAGTTTCCATTTTAAATTATTTCTTATGTTTATCTTATATGTTTGGGACCGTAATGCTTGAATTTTTTGTGTCATGTAGGCAACATATGATCCACATCAAGACCGCTTATCCAAAATTTAGAAAGAGAACAAAGTGGCTGCAGGATAAGCACAATAGCACTTTCATTCAATGGCTACGCTTCAAGGTATATGTTATTGAATAACATATTGGACTTTTAATTTTCTTCTTTCTATGTTAGATTGAATTAAGTTATGATTAATTTTCAGGTTCAAAGTGAACTTAATGAGGAAGACAATCATGGCGTATCAGAAAATTTAAGGTGGCTAGCAGCTGGTCCAAACATGGCAGTGCCATTATATAGGAGCTATCTTATTAAAGGTATTAAATTCAACATCAAGGCACAAGATGATGTGCGGACAACTCAAAATAGTGGAGTTTATTTACTTGTACATACTATGCAAGTTGCTAGTGCCAAGAATAAAAACCCAATTCTCTCAAATATGGGTTTCTATGGTGTCATTCAAGAAATTTGGGACCTTGACTACCAAAAGTTTACAATCCCAGTCTTTAGGTGTGATTGGATAGATAATACTTCTGGTCTTGTAGTGGACGAACTTGGATTTACCCTTGTAGATTTGAGTAAAATTGGACATAGGAATGACCAATTTGTTTTGGCTTCTCAAGTCAAACAAGTATTTTTTGTTGACGACCCGATGCATCGTAGTTGGTCGGTAGTGTTATCAATGCCTAATAGAGAATATAATGGATTGTGAAGATATATGGATTGAATGATGTTTTATGTAATTGGCAGTGTATGACATTAATTTGGTAATATATTGTAATGTGATTTCTTCACTTTCATTATATAGGTTTTGGCCACAAAACAATCAGTACAAAAATTACTGGTTCCAGATTACAAACACGACAGTCTTGATAAAAATGTGAAAAACAAACGTCTGTTCTAATAAAAAACGACGTTTTGGAGCATTCAACGACCGCAATATATTTACTGACGTCTTAAAGCAACGTAACAATGAAGAACCACGGCGCTATTGTGAAATATTTATCCAGGATAACACGTCGGACAAGCATAAAGAACCGCCATGTAATTCAAAATAACACGACTCCAATCTCATAATACCGACGTCTAAAAGACGAGATCTTTAACCTGAACGTTACAAAAGACGACGTCGTCATGAATTTACCACGTCGCATGTTCTTTCATAAACGAAGTGGAAAATGATGAATTCACGATGGTATTTGAAGTCCATTGGTAAATTTGTCGACGTTAAGATATATGAATTAGACGACGTTAATTTTTTTAATGAAGACGTATAAATTATGAAACACGGCGGTCTTTTTCATGGTAACGACGTTGTATATAGACGACAACGTCGTCTTTATAAATTAATGTGTCATAATTAATGACCCCATCATTTTTTCCACGTCGTTTATTTTCAGATCCTGTTGTTAAAATTATTTTACACGGCGGTGGAATGAGAAATCCCCTTTTAAAAACCCAAAAAAAAAAAAAAAAAAAAAAAAAATTTTTTTTTTTTTATAAAAAAAAAAAAAAAAAAAAAAAAATTTTTTTTTTTTTTTTTTTTTTTTTTTTTTTTTTTTTTTTTTTTTTTTTTTTTTTTTTTTTTTTTTTTTTTTTTTTTTTTTTTTTTTTTTTTTTTTTTTTTTTTTTTTTTTTTTTAAATTAACCCCCCCCCCCCCGGGGGGGAAAAAAAAAAAAAAAAACCCCCCCCCAAAAAAATTTTTTTTAAAAAAAAAAAAAAAAAAAAAAAAAAAAAAAAAAAAAAAAAAAAAAAAAAAAAAAAAAAAAAAAAAAAAAAAAAAAAAAAAAAAAAAAAAAAAAAAAAAAAAAAAAAAAAAAAAAATTCAGAGTCATTACACAACGATTATATTTCAAAATATGACGTATAAATTCTGTAATACGGCTCTCATTTATTTGGAACCGACGTTGTTTATTTATTTCAACGTCGTCTCTGTACATACATGCATCGTAAGTAATGAACCTGACATCTATTTCCACGTCATCATTCATAGAAAAATCGAAGTGAAAAATTTATTTTACGACGGTTGTTGGAAATGTTGTGACGTAGTAGGTGTCAATAACGTCGTCTATTATGTATTTAAAGACGTCATATTTCTATTTGTCGTTAAAGGTTTATTTAACGGCGTTGAGTTTTAGTTCTCGTCGTTGTATGTTTATCTTGCGGTCATGTTCTGTTAATATATGTCATATGTTTCCTTTTTAACGACGTTTGTTTGTTAGAGTTGGTCGTCTATTCTCATCCTCGACTGTTTTTTTTTATGTCTTTTTGCAGTACAAAGACGTCAGTTTTTATTTGTTGATGACGTTTTTTGTTTTAACAACGACGGGTATTTACCGTCGTGGTTTTGTTATGGAAAAGATGTCGGTGGATTCCACGACCATTTGAAAACTGAATACACGACGGTGAATTCCCGTCGTGTTTTTCCTTTTTTGTAGTAGTGATGGTAATAGGGAGTTTATGGCTACTTGTTCTCTACAAGTGGTGGGACATTTTAGTGCACAAGCTATGGAACTAATTGCTGCAAATGAAGGTCTTTAGTTCGCATATGATCTTGGCTTTCATGACATTATGCTAGAAATGGATGCGCATGGGGCGGTAGATAGAATCAATTCTAATCAAGAGTGTTTTGAAGCTGAAGGGAATCTAGTGGAAGATATCAAGGAGATGCAGGGGTGGTTTAGATCTTTCTCGTGTAATTGGCAACGACTAGATGGTAACAAGTTTGCCCATGAGCTAGCTCAATATGGCATAAGGAACGCTGGTTTTTTCATGTGGATTGAGGAGGAGCCATTATGGCTAACTCTTTTTCTTTCTACAGATCTAGAAGCTAATGGCTGATCTTTGAGTTTGATGGAAAGTGGGAGGTGCTCTTTTTCCTTTGACGGATTTTCCTCCTTTTTTTTTATGGGTGTTTTTTATGCTAAAGGTTTTTTACAGAGGCCCAAGCTTGCACATCTTTTTGTTTTCTTCTCAGTGTATTATGCTATTTGGTTATTGAATGAAATTCTTTTCATTAAAAAAAAAGGAATAAAAGAATTCAACTGCTAACCAAGCCTCAATCACGCACAAAAATTTTCAAATGAAGGAATTGATACGACGTTAGATAAAATGTTTAAGGCTTAATTAGTCAAAAGATGGAAACAAACAAAAAAAATTCAGAGCTTCGTTAGTCAAAAGATCAAAATTAAGAGATTACTTGGACGGGGGCATTATCCCCTGGTGATTTGTGTAAACAGGAAACCGGATTTATTATTATAAAAGCTAGACAGTAGTTCTGCATATCCTAATAAAGAACAAGAAAGGAGGAATAGCAATAGACAAAAAAAAACTAAAGAGATCAAAACCTAAGTCCGCAATATTTATCCATTTGATTAAAATGTAGTCATTTTTGTGTTTTTATGCGGTTATTCGTTTTTTCTTCATTTTTGTGTTTTTATGAGGTTATTCTTTTTTCTTTGTTGGTTTGGCTTCTTAAATTTGACGAGGATCATATCCTAATAACAACTGAGATTTTGGCATTTGTTAAAGTACAAAAGAAAATAAAAATTAAAACAATTCCAAAAAAAATTAAATAAATTTTCAAATGCCAAAACTCTATTTGTTTTTAATCCTTTAATATTTTTTTTTTGGGGGTTAAAACTTTGTCAGTTTTACTGGAATTTGACGACTATTAAAATCATATAGGTTTAAAAAATATATATCCTCTTCAATTTTAAGAATCCAAGCAATTTTTAAAGCAACGCTCACCAACTTACATTAAATAATCATTAAAACTGCCATGTGCATGATATTCATATGTTACAATCAAATATGACAATGGCCAGTCTGGCCCAGCAAGCAGGCATAATTGATCAAAAGTCGCCCTTCAATTCTTTTAATAAGAAGGGTTCTCGATTTTAATAGTCATTTTTTCACGAGAATGAACTTTGTGAAAAACATAAAATTATATGAACATGTAAAAAATATAAAATGATATGAACATGTGTGTATAGAATATGATGTTATAGTAGCGTACATATTCAAAGAAATTGAAGACAGTTCTGCACTGATATGTACAATTAACAACTTCAATTAATACACCACCGACATACGTTATTGTTTGTATTATTGACAGCGGCATATGACGTTATAGTAGTGTACATATCCAAAGAAATTGAAGACAGCTCTCACTGACATGAACTATTAACAACCTCAATGATGACTACACCACCGATATGTCATTGTTTGCATCATATTGTGTATTAATTGAGGTTGTTAATAGTACATGTCAATGCTGAGTTGTCTTCAATTTTTTTGGATATGCACATCATATGATGACGTCCTTCAAGTCTTTTAGTAACAAGGGTTCTCAAGTTCAGTAGTCATTTTCACATGTCCTGGAGACTGAACGTTGTGAAAAACTTACGCTCCCTTTTACTTTTTAATACTTTTTAAATAATTTTGTTCTTTCTCTTTCCTATTCTACCCTTACTCAACATTAATTTCTTTTTACTTCACTTTTATATTAGTTCTTTTTCTTTATACTTAATTTTCCAACTTGCACTCCATTTTCATTATTTCTTTCCTTTAATCGAGTAAGAAATTAATTATTATTTTTTCCTTTAATACTAAAAATGGAGTGTAACTTGGAAAATTAAGTATAAAGAAAAAGAAATAATATAAATGTGCAGTAAAAAAGAAATTAATGTAGAATAAGGGTAGAATAAGAAGGAGAAAGAACAAAATTGATTAAAAACTATTTTAAAACAAAAAAGAGTGTAAGTGGAGAAAAGGGGAGTGAGAAAATTAGCTCTCTTTCCCAAATCCTATTGAGTGCTGCTATTTCCACCCCCACCCCCTGTCCTATTTCCCCACCCACCTTATCCTCAAAATTTTAAAGGTAAATTTATCCTTATGTAAAATGACTTCTAAGGACCAAAATAAATTCTTCTGTCTGTGATGCTTCTTTTATCATTTCCTTGGGCTCTTCATCTTTTATTTGCTTAATCGACACCGTTTGCTGTTCGTCTCTAATTCAAACTTGATCAGTTTTACTAGGCAAGTAAAATGTATAACGTTCACTCTCTGAAACTCTTGTTTTTTTTTTCCCCAGCTGCTTGTTATTTTGCACGAGTTTGCCAAACATGTGGTACTGGAATTTTTTATGCTGTTGCAGTTTCATAAAAAAAAAAAGGAAAAAAAAAAAGGGAAGAGCTCTTTTGAAACTACGGAAGAAGTAAAAATTGGAATATCGCAGAGTAGGGATGTTGGGTGAGTTATCCATATGCAGGCTTCATTTGAAATTTATGTAAATTAATAGGGAATTAATTTGGGGAGATAATGTTAAAGCAAAATTCAATTAGGAGAACAAATTTATGGATTTTATAGATGGGTTGGAGGGATGGTGGTGATGTCGGAGGAGAGGAAGAGGTTGGGGGTGACTTAGAGAAGATAGTTTGATTAACTTTTTTTTTTCATTTAATTTTCTAAAGGATATTTTAGGAATAATGGGGGGTGGAAAAATAGGATTGTATTTCTTCAAATTTACATGGTGGGTGGGAAAATAAGGTGGGTGAGAAAATAGGACATGGTGGTGGAAATAGCAGCACTCATCCTATTATATAAAGATAAGCAAGCAGACTCATAGATTTGCTCTCCGCCTTCCAAATCCTATATTACATAAAGATAAGCAAGCAGATTCGCAGACAAGAAAATCCCATGGATTTCATTGAGTCACCGGATCCCCTTATCCTTTTTGGTACAACTGTAGCTATTGTTGTCATTGTGGCTGCTGCTTATCTCTTCACCCCCAAGAATCGCAAAGGTTTCACCTCTTAGTTGCTGTTTTTTATTTCTTTGGTGTGATTAGTTGGTTTTCAGTCAGTCATGGTTTTACACAGTTTATCTTCCTTCCCCCAACTCAAGAGAGCTTTTCTCTCTAGCAGATATGATGCCACACCCTCGAAAATCCATATGATCCATTATATAACAAGGGGCAAGTGTGTTCAACAAGCCACCACAATTGTGGCTGAAAACCTACCCCAGACAATTGATGCTCAATCTGTTGGATCGATCGCCCTAGTGCACAACCTCCTGTGCTTTTTCTGACGGATCAATCCAACAAGTGGTCCACACACAATTTTATTCTTGTGCTTTCTTCAATAGTCCCCTAAACCTCACCACCTCACCTTCTAGTGAATATGACTTACGAATTTACTAGAAGTTCAATCAGTTTACAAGCAATTGTAAGATATTAACGGATATGGAAAAAAATAAATAGAGCATGATCGTATCAAACAACACACAGAAATGGAAACATCAGCTTTTGTTTTTTTAGTATTATTGTATCTTTAATATTATACTTTTAATTCTTTGCGTGTGTCAGTAAAAATGACTATGAGTATGTCTTGCCGAGCACGAAAGCAACGTTTAGCAAACCAATATGAATTTCCGAATCCGGTAAGGTTAGTGAAATTCAAATCACTTGAAAGTTGAAGAAAAAGAAGATAAAGTAGAATAGAAAATCATGGTCATTAAATATAGAGTTGTATGATGTGTGGTTTTGTCTGTGCATTATATGTGGGAATCAACTCCACTCATGTGTTGATTCCATATGGTTAGTAAACATCTTAATAGGAATGACTTTTTCCAAACTGATTCCTTACACATTCCTGATAAATAAACATGCCATAAATTCCTCAATTGATGCCATTAGTGGCGGACCAACAAAGGTGCAAGGAGATGCAGCTACACCTCCCCTCGACGGAAAACAACTTGGAGTTGGTAGAGTTTGCACCTCTGGTCTGCCTTGGAGTTGCCCACCAAGTGCATGTGGAAATGCCGCATCACAGCTTCTATTTTGAGTTTGATGCGCTGCTGCGCAGCGGCGCCTATTCCTTTTTTTTTAACTCCTAGCCAATATGACCTACAAAGCAAGCAAGAGAAGAGCGCTATTCAAGTTTTAAGGATTTCGGCTTCAATTAATTTATATAAAAACGAAAATATAAATTAATTGAAGACCCAATCCCAATCCCAAATCCTTTTGTTTTTACCTTCAATTTTATTTCTTCTCATGTATTTATTTTCCTTTGGTATTTTTTCTTTTGTTTTTTTCTTTTCCTTTTTATAATATATTTTTTATTATTTGTTTCTGATTTAGCTCTCTCTATATCAGACAATATGAATATTTTGACAGGTTCACGCCAAGTGATAATATCTGAATCTTCGGCGATGTTAAAACGATTACTTTTCAGTTCTTTTGGTGTTCCGTCGGGATCGATCATTGACACCTACACTGCCAATCCGGTTAGCATGCTACCTTTTAGTTTGAGTTTGCATTGCTATTCGCTCTTCTTATATTACTGATAAAGACTTGTTCCATTGTTGTGCTTTTTTTTGTTTTGTCCATATAGACATATCCCAAGAATTTCGTTCGACTGGGGGGTAAAAAACTATTCTTGTTCTTTTCAAGTTTGGATATTTCTGAAGCTCATATTAAACTTATCAAGCACGTTAATGAGCGAATAGAAGAGGAGAAGATGGATCAGTATAGGACTGTGTGGATCCCCATTGCGGAGGAAAAGCAGTGGAAGGCACACGAGGAAGACAATTACTTATTGCACATTGCTGAAAGACTGTCATGCTACACAGCTAGACCACACCCAGAATGCATCAAAAACATCAAGAAAACATACCAATTAGACAAGAAGAAGGAGTTTTTGTCGTTGGTGGAGATGGACGAAAGTGGCAATGATGAAAAATCCGATCCTGCCATCACAATTGTCAAGGAAAGAATGAAGCGGTTGGCTTCAAACCCTGACGGAAAAGTAAGGAAAGTAATGAACAGAAGCCCTTTTGCTGCACTTCACAATCATCACTGGAAGCATTTCGGGAGAGATTTGTGACAGTACTCGGACGACCTTTGCAAAAGAGTTACTATTATTCGGAATAATGATAGACGGAAAGTTATCGTCTCCCTTTAGTTAAGTTGGTGATGTGTGTTTCTAGCTAGTACTAAAATGTTTTTTTATTTATTTATTAATGATGGCAGTAAATATGGGAAGAACAAGGTTTTTACGTCTCCTTTATTTTAAATGCTGACGGTGAAAGATCTTACAACGTCGGTAAGCATATAAAATGCGACGTGGTTACCATTTTCTATGTCATTTTTATTTCTAAAGACGACGTAATTCATTTTCTTACCAAGTCCTAAAGACATAAATTGACGTGGTATATTGTAAAGACGTTTCGTAATAAGAGTGTATCGTCGTGTTTGTGAGGTAAGACGACGATATATTTTTACGAGGTCGTTTTATCTTCTTTTAAATGTCATCTTTTTTTGCCTTCCCGCCGTGATATCCTGTAACAACGGCTTTTCATTACCGTCATTGTTTTATTATTATGTGCAGTCTTTTGAGTTAAATTTTAGACGGCGGTAAGTACATCGAGGCCGTCTCATTGGAGGCGTACAACCTTTTTAATGTCCATTTTTTTAAACCGACGTCTTTAGCATTTTATCTTTGTTTTTTTTATAGGTTAAAGGTCTTCCATTGCAAGACGTATGATAAAAAACGACGTTTGATACTATATACGTCTGTTTTTGCAATAATGTTAACAGGACCGTCGTATTTTGGTACTTGAACCAAATTTTTTTGTACTGAAAGCTTTGAGCTCAAACCCTGTATAATGAAAGTGAAAAAAATTCAATACAATTTCTTACAAAATTAATGTCATACACAGCCATTTAGAGCGTAAGTAATGTCATAAATTACAAGCATCATTCAATCCATATATCTTCACACCCATCTCGAATATTTTGACTCCCAGACTCACCGGCTACTTCATCAAATGCGTCACCATTTGGCATCCTTCTAGTAAATAGCTCACATTCAATTCTCACATCACCTAAGACATCATCACCAATAACATCATTATATTCTCTATTAGGCATTGATAACACTACTGACCAACCATGATGCATTGGGTCATCAACAAAAAATACTTGTTTGACTTGAGAAGTCATAACAAATTGGTCATTCCTATGTCCAATTTTACTCAGATCTACAATGGTAAATCCAACTTCGTCGACTACAAGGCCAGAAGTGCTATCTATCCAATCACACCTAAACACTGTGATTGTAAACTTTTGGTAATCAAGGTCCCAAATATCTTGAATGACACCATAAAAACCCATATTTGAGACAATTGGGTTCTTATCCTTGGCACTAGCAACTTGCATAGTATGTGCAAGTAAATAAACTTCACTATTTTGAACTGCCCGAACATCATCTTGTGCCTTGGTGTTAAATTTAATACCTTTGATAAGATAGCTCCTATATGATGGCGCTGCCATGCTTGGACCAGCTGCTAGACACCTCAAATTTTCTAATACACCATTATTGTCTGCCCCATTAAGTTGACTTTGAACCTGCAAATGAATAATATCTTAATTCAATCTAACATAAAAAGAAGAAAATTAAAAGTGCAATATGTTATTCAATTTCATATACCTTAAAGCGTAGCCATTGAATGAAAGTGGTATTGTGCTTATCTTGTAGCCACTTTGTTCTCTTTCTAAATTTTGAATAAGTGGTCTTGATGTGGATCATATGTTCTCTACATAACTCGAAAAATTCAAGCATTACAATCCCAAACATATCAAATAAACATAAGGAATATAATTTAAAATGACGACTTAAGAATAAAACTCATACTCGATATAAGGTAGAACTTCCTCCGTATTCTCCAAGACATATAGATGTGCCTGATTCAACAAGTCTTGATCAACTAAACTCACTGTGTAACCTGATAAGGGCTTTGAAAGTCCCATCTTCTGGCTTGATGGCACTCCAACTGTACTAACATCAGATAAATGCTCAGTGTAAAACTCTACAGCTTCTTCAGCTATATACCGCTCAACAGTGCAACCTTCAGGATGATTACGGTTCTAAACATACCCCTTTAGCACTTTCATATATCTTTCGAACGGATACATCCATCTAAAATAAACTGGCCAACATAGATGAACTTCTCTGACAAGATGTACTACTAGATGAACCATGATATCGAAGAATGAAGGGGGAAAGTACTTCTCAAGCAAACACAAAGTTACTACTACATCTTCTTCCAGCTTATCTAGCTTGGAAACATTATCATCTTTGCACATATAGCATTGAAGAAGAAGCACAATCGAGTTATTGCATACCTTGCAGGCTTCTCGAACAGAACGAATTGCCACAGAGAGCAATTGTTGCATCAAGGTATGACAATCATGTGATTTAAGTCCAAGAAGTCTTGAATCTTGTAAAGATACAAGATTTTTAATATTTGAAGAGTAACCTTCAGGGACCTTCATACCATCGAAAGAATTGCAAACCGCTCTCTTCTCTGCTCTTGACAAATTCCAAGGCCCTGGAGGCAAGCGAGCACGTCTTTTTCCATACTCGGGTTGCAAATCAGTCTTGACCCCCATGTTCAATAAATCCAAACGAGCAGCAATCCCATCTTTATTTTTTCCAGGGATCTCCAACAACATACCAATGATACTATCGCAAACATTTTTCTCGATGTGCATAACATCAAGGGCATGCCTCACAAGAAGGTATTCCAGTACTCGAGATCAAAGAATTTTGACTTCTTCTTCCAACAAACTCTGTCACCATCATTTTCACCTCCACCTCCCCCTTTTTTCGAGCCCCATTCATAATTAATACCTTCAACCATTTGTAACACTTCTTCTCCGGTTAATGGCTTTGGAGGCTTGTCATATTCAGGTTTCCCATTAAAAGCTGCATGTTGCCTCTGATATGGATGATATATTGGTAACCATTTTCTATGCCCGATGTTTCCTCCAGGTTGTTTTAGACCGAAAATCAATAAGGTCAACATCATGAACTTTCGTTTCATGCATAGCCATGGTGGGAGATTATATATAACTAAGATAACTGGCCAGCAACTGTATCTGGTACTTAGAGAACTGTAGGGATTGAATCCATCAGATGAGAGAGCCAATCTCAAGTTTCTCGGCTCATTATCAAACTCGGGCCATTTATCATCAATGAGTTTCCAAGAGGGAGAATCAGCCGGATGAGACATCTGACCTTCAATTTCTTTTCTATCAGCATGCCAAGTCAAACTCTTAGCTGTCTTGCGTGATTGAAACATCCTTTTAAATCTTGGAATTGGTGGAAAATATCACACTACCTTTGTTGGGACACCCTCTTTCAAGATTGAATCTTTGCCTTCTTTCCATCTTGAGATTCCACTAGTAGGAAAATGAGTTGAATGTTCATACTTCTTCCTATACAAGATGCAATCATTGAGGCATGCGTGGATTTTCTCATAACTCAGCCCCAATGCACACAAAGTCTTTTTTGCCTCATACATAGAGGAAGGTATTGTATTTCCTTCTGGAAGCAATTCTCCTTGAAGTATCAACAATTCTGTAAAACAGACATCACTCATTCCATGTTTTGCCTTCAAATTGTATAACTTCACTAATGCCGACAACTTGGTGTACTTACTACAACTAGGGAACAAGGGTTGATCTCCATAGCCAATCACATTGGCGAACTCATAAGGATCGTATCCGAAATTGCCTAAATCATTATCATCCATCTCTATTTCTTCAGACACAAAACTGTACCTACTATGTTCATCATCTTCTTCCACATTTCTACTAGCATTAGTAGTTGCTTGTCAAGGTTCTCCGTGAAATGTCCAATTCTTATAACTTTGGTCAACTCCATTAAAGTATAAGTGGTCCCTTATAATTCCAACCCCAAACAATCGAACATTCCCACATTTAACACATGGACAGTGAATATGTGTTGTAGTTAGAAGATTTTCTATTGAAAATTTCAAAAATGCTTCCATCCCTAACTCATATGCCTTCAATCTTCTATCCGCGTGCATCCATGACTTATCCATCTCCGACAAAATACCATATTATTTATAATAAGGTGAAAAGACAAACAATGACCATCACTATAACAGATTATAATTGCTTGATAGAAAGTAATTTAACATAAAGACGACGGTTTTTAAAAAAATCCGACGTTTTATACTTATACAGATGTCGGTTTTTGAAAAAATCGACATTTGAAGCTATTAAACAGTGATTATACAGACGACGGTAGTTAAATAAACACCGCCTTGTAGATAAATAAAGACGATGGTTTTTAAGAAAAACCGTCGTCAAACTCTTAAAGAAAAGGAGGCTACGTCTTCCTTTATTCAGACCATTTCCAAGAACCCAACATATGTTAACAACCCATAACATTGAATTTTTAAGAAAAGCATGCAAATATTAAAGCCATTCCCTATTCATAACAACAGAGATTGATGAAGAATATACCTACAAAAATATTAAAAGATCGCAAAATATATATCTAAAACCCAACAATGCAGTCTATGATTTCAGAATAATCTTCTAAACCCTAAACATATCTAAAGCCATTCCCTAAACCCTATATGTTTGTACTTCAGAACCCAGAACTGAATATCAATCAATGAATTAAGAAGCAAGATATTAGGGTTTGTACTTACAGACAAGCAGAGCTCACAGATTATGGTCTCCTTGGATTCGAAGCCTCCTTGGATTAGAGTTGAAGTGAGAGAGCGAAATGTTAGAGTTGAAGTGAGAAAGCAAAATGTAGACTTACAGCGAAATCTGAAAATTTTAGGTCGCAGCGAAATTTTAGAATGCGTACTTCTTCAAACATCGACGGAAATCATATAAAACTGTCGTTAAAAACACGTCGGTTAATATATGAAATACAACGTCGTAAAGCAGTAAGACGTCGGTAAAACATAAAACCGACGTCGAATGCACTAAATAATATTCCTGGGATTTGGATTTGCTGGGATTCGAACGCATGTGCGCAAGGGACAGAAAAAAATACAACCCTGGCGTCACACTTGTAACGACCCGGTCCTAAATAAATGTTTAATTATTAATTAAACATGATAAAAGACCATTTTGCCCCCAAAATATTTTATTGGGTTTAAAGTTCACTTTTCGGCCGGGAAGGAATTTGGGAATTTCGACTATACTGTTGCGTAGAGCACGGCTAGATGAGTTCGTAGACACGTAGTGGGCTTGAATTGAAGCTGTAAGGAAGAAGTTATGAGCAAAACATCACTAGTGGCACAATCATAAATATTGTGAAAAAGGTTTGATAAAAATCAGAAAACCCTCATTTATCTCTCTCTCTCCTCCCGATCGCGCCTCCTCCCTGTCAAAACAGCAGCGGCGGTTTTTCCGCCGCCACCGCTTCCTCCGGCCACCATTCGAGGTGGCGTTTGTCCCAAAATGACTGGCTGGTCTTTTGCTTCCAACCCCAGCCAAGCTCCGCCGCCAGCAGCCGCGAGTTTCGCCAGAAATTGCAGAAAATCTGGCAGTTTCTCCCGAATTTTCAAACCGCTCGTTCTCTCTCATTTCTCCACCAAATTTGACGTGTAAGGTATGGATTTCTACCTATTTTTCATGATCTAGCTGATGGTTGGTTTGGAATGTATCAATTTTTAGCCTAAGATGTCTGATTTTCGAATTGGATTTCGGCCGGATTTCGGGATGAGATTCCAGCCACTTCCGGTCAGTTTTTGGGGTATGCCCAAGAACAAAAGTGACTCCAAATAGGGTGTTACACCTAGGGTAGGAGTCTTGAGCCGTGATTTGGGTTTTTCCGGCGATGGGTTATCGCTTTGGACACCCACGTGCTGCCGGCGCGTGTGGCGGTGCGTTGGCACTGTAGAAAAGCGGCATTAGGTCCCGAGGTGATCTCCTGGTCCTCACGAGCACGTAGGTGTGCTTGGATTTCAATTTTGATACGGTTAAAGTCCCGAACGGATATCGCATATTGAGCGTTATCCAGGTTCGCTAGGTTTGGACCGTTGGATGGTCCTGAATTGATAATATGTTAATCTAGACATCCTTAGAATCGTGTAGGATTCGATGGATCATAAAATGGAGTCCCGGATACTTCGGAAATGCCAACCCGAGGGCTAGGGTTATAATAACCGTCCTATCGTGCGATCGTGAGCGATCCGACCGTCCGATCTAGACCAAACTTGCAGGACGGGTGTCCTAAACCTTGTAGAACTCATAGGAACTGTCGGATCGAAATTTGGAGGTTGTGGGCCCCGCGGTCCCGTTTGACCAAGTTTGGGTAGTTTGACCCTTGGTTGACCGTGGGTCTTCCGAGGTAGTCTTACCTTCACATGAGGATTAAAATGACCATAGGGACAGGTCCTGAGCGTTGTATAGTTATGTGGATTATGTGGGTTAGGATATTAATTGGGGAAATTATCGGATGTGATATATAAAGATGTTTGATTACCCCGTATAAGTACCGTCCTGTGATTGTGAGGTCGCACGCGGTGTAGGATTTTCCGGCGTATTGACAGGCCCCGTAGGCGGTGTTGAATTTTTCGGCGTATGGGGAGATTCTACGAGATGTGATAATTATGAGGTCCCACGTGTCGTAGGATTATCCGACGTGCGGACAGGCCCCATACGTGGCGTTGGTAGTTCCGGCATATGGGGAGATATTGTGATATGATGATGAGGTCACACGTGTTGTAGGATTATCCGGCGTGTTGACAAACCCCATACGCGGCGTTGGTAGTTCCGACATATGGGGAGATTATTGTGATACGATTGTGAGGTCCCACGTGTCGTAGGATTATCCGGCGTGCGGACAGGCCCCATACGTGGCGTTGGTAGTTTCGGCGTATGGGGAGATATTGTGATATGATGATGAGGTCACACGTGTTGTAGGATTATTCGGCGTGTTGACAGACCTCATACGCGGCGTTGGTAGTTCCGGCGTATGGGGAGATTATTGTGATACGATTGTGAGGTCCCACATGTCATAGGATTATCCGGCGTGCGGACAGGCCCCATACGTGGCGTTGGTAGTTCCGGCGTATGGGGAAATATTATGATATGATGATGAGGTCACACGTGTCGTAGGATTATCCGGCGTGTTGACAGGCCCCATACGTGGCTTTGGATGTTCTGGCGTATGGGGAGATTATGTGAGTATTAGGGAGATAGATTAAAGATTTTGGTTGGTGAGTTGTGTTTTAAAGTAAAGGGTTTTAGTGAAAGAACTACGTGTGGCTTGATCCCTCTGTAAGGGTACATAGGCAGCCTAGGTTACTAGGTGCAGCCGTGGGTTAAACTTTACTTATGTGGTTTTGTTGAGTGTGGTGGTGATCGAGTAGATCTAAAACCCGTTTGGGTTGTTGTATGATTTCGGCCGAGACCTTAAACTATTTGTGTTTGCGTTAGGAGGTTAAAACCTCTCATATGGATAGTTTGGAAAGTTAGATGTTGCGGATTGCTTTGGCCTTCTTAAGTGAGAGTGAATTTATTATTTGCCTGGTTTAAGGTATTAATTGACTGATAGCGTGGTAGGTAGTTTGCTTTGAATTATCGGAAGGCCGGAGGCCGTTTATGTGAATTGCATGTTATTACATTGTGCATGCTGCCAGTTGGGATATTAAATGTGTTTTATGTAGGTTGGAATTTTTGGGCAAAATTCAATTTACAGGGGAGACTCTGCCAAAATTTCGGCCGAAAGTCTCGGGCCTTGATTCCTTCCTTGGAAAAGGAGGTTATAGTTTTAGTGAGTGGTCCCGACATTGGGGTGATGTTGGGAATTCCATAGGATTCGTCCTGGGTTTCGAGAAATTCAGGGCGAGTCCTGTCAATACTAAACCCTAAACCCTAAACATTAAATTATAAATTTGTAAAACAAAATTGTAAAAAAGGTTTAGGGGTTTAGGGTGGTCATATACTAAACCCTGAACCCTAAACCCCTAAACCCTAAACCCTAACCCTAAACCCTAACCCTAAAGCCTAAACCCTAAATAATAATATATTTTTAAAAAAAAATTGTAAAAAGATACAAATGTTTGAGAAAAATATACCAAAAATTGCTACGGACTCCTTACGACAATGCCGTCTAAATTAGATTGCTAAAACCAGTATTTAAAATATATATATATATATATATATCCCCACCAATGAATGACACAAGCCATATGATTGTTTGAAGAAACTATAAGGGATGTTGTGATTTATCTGTTTATGTGGACATTTTTCATTTTTATAACTCAAATTACATTTTTTAAAACTTTAGGAGAAAGAAAATATCTTAATGACTGCATAGGAGTTGTGTATTTTTTAGAAATTTTAGAAATTTATTATGAATATAATGAATTAAGGTCAATAAAAAATTGTTATAAACACAACAAACCAAGTCGGTTTTAAATCCATATACTGATGTTGTATTCATGTTAAACTTCAGTATTTATACAAATACCGACGTTGTAAAAAATGTACGACGTCACAGGATTAGGACGTTGTTTCGATTCTAGTACGTCGCCTATGGTATTAACCGACAGGGTAAAGAGCATAGACGTCACACAGCTTATGAATAAACCGACGTTGTAGTGAAGTTCAAAAGTCAGAAAATAAGTCAAAACTGCCACTAAATAAAATATAAGACGTCAGGCCTATATACGTTGCGTAAATAAAATAACGTCGTTGTAAGTATTTGACCAGACAACGGTTATTAAATGGATTTCGTTGAAATTGCATAAGATGTCATTGTTATCAACTTATCGACGTGGTATTTTCTTCATGGCTCTTTTTGTGTTAGCAACGTCGTTTATTGTCTTTAAAACGTACCGTCGTGTTACAGGAGTTTACATGTCATTTATTGAATTTATCGTCGTTTGTATATTTTCAAGTTTTGTAAGACGTCTGTTGTTGAAATTATTATGTCGTTGGAAGGGTCTTCAGACGACGGTTTACGGAGTTACTTTAGTTTTTAAAACTGAAAACCAATTTTTATTGACAACCAAAAAAAACATATACATTATACCTTAAACCCTGTACAAAAATAGTCTATTCTAAAATAAAAAATGTACATTTTTCATAATTGTTTGTAAAAATCCTCTACTCCATATGAAGGCAAACCAAATCTGCCCATTCTTTCCTCACTTCTTCAATGGCTTCTTGGGGGTATGGTGCTTGATCTTTGCCATTTTCAAACTGCAATCAATAAAACATCATTATTTAGCATTCATGACTGGTTTTGTAGGATCTGTGGCAGAGTAAATAGAATTACCTTCGTGGTATATCGATTCAAACAACGGTAATTCTATTTTCCGTCGTCCACTTACAAAAACCACATAAATTAAAATCCTAAAGTTTTCCATTTACCTTCTTCTCAAACTCTAAAGAAGGATCTGTGATGATGTCTCTCATAAAGCGCATGACATAATAGCCACACTCTACACTGCTGGGTTGCTTTGGTGTGCCTTGTAGAGTTTTCCAAATATGTGCTTTACGGCCTTGTCTGCCTATGTGTGAATTTATACATCTTGATAGCACTGTTTCATGACAACAAAGTGTTATTAAATCAAAAAATAATAGAATACAAATACACATTGCACTTGAGTAGATCAACTTACGTGTTCACTATGTTTTTGCACTCATCATCAACCACTCGATTTCCGGGTAGTCGATCCAGAAAATACACAGTCTCCCTCTTTGGTCTCATAATGAGCAAGACCCAATGACGGCTACACAAAATAAACATAGAGGTTAAAGAGTTTTATATACACTGCATCATACAAAGAAAATCATGTTGACTAACGTACCCTGGATTGTAAGGCATAAAGAAAATATGTTCACCATCTGTCTTTTGAAGTCAATTGGCTAACAAACGTGATCTTTGAGTTAATGATCCAGAGTTAGCACTAACTTGAGCGGGGTCAACAAAGCCAACCATGTTCACCATATTTGATGTTTTCAATACATCAAATAGGCACCTACATATATAAAACTGATGTCATGAGTTGATAAGGACAAACCTCATCTATACAGCAACCACAATAGCCCCAATTTCATCCATAGCTGCAAACTGTGTAATATCTTCAATCAAGACGAAGTTTGACGCTCAAAACCAAACACCTCCTTCTCAATTGTAAATATCATAGCCGTCTCGTGAACCTTTAATGTCGTCTCCATATAACGACAAAGGGCTTGTAAAGAAGATGGCAAGACTAGGTTTGAGTAATCTGGTGCTTGTTGTTCTGGTGCTTGTTGTTCCTTCTCAAAAACGTCCAAGCACTTGTCTTTCTGCTTGAAGAAATAAGGAAAGATATATAATAGAGAAGTGAAAAAACCAGAGTAAACTACACAATTTCAAACGACGTGGTAATAGAGATAAAAGGATGGGAAGATAAAAAAAACAACGTGAAAATTAAATAACAACGACGGCAAGTGAAAACCGTTGTCGTATGTATCAATTACGTCGGTAGAAAACAGAGCCCTAGAAAATTAACAATTGCCAATATCAATTTAAAAGCATGCTTTAGCAGAAATACAAATAACATGAAATGCATATAAAGAGAGAAAGACAGAGTGGAACAGAGTGAGTGAAGAAAGATTGAAAAAAAATGACACTATTTGAATCCCCAATACTCTCGTGGTACAAGAATGACAACGACGGCTTATTTAAAAAATAGAAATAATATGAACTTAAAACGACAGTTATGAAAAACCGTCGTCTTATGACTTTATTACGTCAGTATAAAACAGAGCCCTCCAAAATTAACAAATGCAATTACAAACTTAAAAGCATGAAATGCAGAGAACATCAATTGCAGATAAAGAGAGAGAGAAAGAGAGTATTTCAAATTTCAGAGAATTTACCATGTCAGCTTGTTGTTCTGCATCCTTGGATTTCGTTTTAAGAAATAAAGAAATATAGATAAGACAGCTTGTACAAAATGAAATATTACATAAACGTACCGTCGTGGTAAGGAATACACACGACGGTTAATACAAGATAACATCGTCTAATTTAAATTGAGACGACGGTAAATAAATGATGTCGTTGTGGGTTGTTTCTAACGTCTGTAATTAAGATAACGAAGTCTAATGGTTGTATGGAAAGTTCATACAAGTTTACCATTTCTTCTTGCTTTTCTCCATCTTTGGCATTATCATCCTCAAAATTGAGGGCTCTGACATCCAGCGCCCTAGAGCAGCTTGCCTTATCCGACATTGGATTTTTGGGACTTTGCTTAGGACCTTGGAAAGGTGTCAGTTTCAGCACACTTGGATCAAAATTTGGAATTAGTTGGCGCAGCTAATTCAGCAAATTCTCCATCTCAGCTTCTACCAATTGCTTGGTTCTAGCCTCCATCTTCAAGGTCTCTTCTTTAAGGACATCTCTTACACTTTCCTTTAATTGATCGGCAAACTTTACCCTCTGTTGTCTAGGTAAATTGAAGTATTTCTTAGTGGAAATCCCAGCCCCAACACCTCTAACTCTCCCTGGATGCTCGGGACCCAAAGTCATAGTCAATACATCATTACTTCCAGAGACAGTAAGAGTGCCTTCACTGACTTGTTTTTGCAATTCATCACAAAAAGATATGTGAAAACAACACAGAAATCCTAAATAGTCTATGTGACTTATTCCAAACATAAAGAAACTGCAAAAAAGAATGGTGGTAAAGATATGACACTGAAACGCAAATGGAGATTCGATGCCAAGACGCATCCGCCTATGATGGGTGGAGGAAAATCATTACAAAACGAAGACAAATAGGGGAAACCTTATGTCTCTAAAAATTGGACATCTAATTGTGTCAACCTTTCATTCATAGATCATCCTTGCAAAAAATTAAACAAATTGGAAACCATTTAGACATCTAATTGTGTCCTACAAAATCAATGAATACGGTGTTTCAAGAAAGTACTAAAATTTCAATAATTTAATTGAGTAGTCAAATGATTATCGTATTTAATGTTTTTTTTTTTTTTAAAGATGATCTTTGAATGAATATCTACCAAAATAGATTATTTGAATTAATGAAATATAATGTATAATGGGCCTTACAACAGTGTCCTTCAAATAAACTTATTTAAAAGATTCATCATCATGCATGGAGAGGAGTGCTGGAGACATCTTCCCCTACCTGTACCAGCATAGTAGCAAGCAATCCATTTGTCTTCTTCTCTTTGGAAGATGAATACGCTAAAAGAAGTTGGATTTTTTTTATCCATAAAAAGAGGAAAAAGTGTAAACCTACAGAAGCATACCAAGTGATTTATATTGACTCTTGCACCATTGTGAAGACAGTAGATGGCCCTACTGAACGAGACCAGAAGAAATTTGAGAACAAATAAAGCCATCTTCACTTTAATTGTTGATAGATGGGATTCGGGCTCACGTGCATACACATTTAAAACTCTTTTTTTTTTTTTTTTTTTTTTTTTTTTTTTTTTTTTTTTGTTGAGAAATTCTGAGATTGTATTCATAATTCAGCCAAAAAAGTCATCAGTCAAAAAAGGCCAATATAAACTAGCCACAAAGGGCCATTACAATAATTGAGAGATCTAACATCAAAATTAAGACAATTTAGGGCTCCTCTATAACGATCACGCATGATCAAAGAAGCTCTGGAATAGGTATCCCAACTAAGGGAGTAAAACCAAGTCATAATAATACAAATAAAACTCTTACAAAGGATAAGTGGAAAGCTCTCATAGAAGAGAACTGAAAAACTCTCACAAAAAGATATGTGAAAACAACACAGAAATCCTAAAGAGTCTTTGTGACTTATTCCAAACATAAAGAAACTGCAAAAAGAATGGTGGTAAAGATCTGACACCGAAACGCAAATGGAGATTCGATGCCAAGACGCATCCGCCTGTGATGGGTGGAGGAAAATCATTACAAAACGAAGACAAATAGGGGAAAACTTATGTCTCTAAAAATTGGACATCTAATTGTGTCAACCTTTCATTCATAGATCATCCTTGCAAAAAATTAAACAAATTGGAAACCATTTAGACATCTAATTGTGTCCTACAAAATCAATGAATACGGTGTTTCAAGAAAGTACTAAAATTTCAATAATTTAATTGAGTGGTCAAATGATATCGCATTCAAAGTGTTTTTTTTTTTCAAAGATGATATTCGAATGAATATCTACCAAATAGATTATTTGAATTAATGAAATATAATGTATAATGGGCCTTACAAAAGTGTCATTCAAATAAACTTATTTAAAAAATTCCTCAATGAAAGCTCACTCTATGTGTATATATATCCAATCTGCATCGTCCAATTTGCAAACCAAACAATTAAATTAGTTCCATTAAATTATGACTTGATTCCGTTCCATCTTTATTCCCATTTCAACAATCAAACATATATTTAAGAATGATGGCCTGTCGGTTTTAAAAAATAAAATATAAGAATGGTTTATATATTATAATTCCATTGTGAGACATGGGGGCAAAGGCAATGAGCCGAGTGGGAAGACTTTCCTTGCAACTTTGTTCACAATGGGTGTGATTAGAGAATGTATTTTTGCAGATTGCTATTTCTGAATTCCATCGTACGACTGTCGGACCACGAGCACGACTATCAGTTTCAAATATATCTCTATTTCTTCACCTTCATGCTTTTCCCGCTCTTGAAAAATTAAAAAGAAAAACAATCGAAAACGTGTCCTCAATATTGTGAATGAGGACTGAAGTATATTCCACAAATCTATCACCTCTCTTGTGCTTGTGCCACATGGCTCTGGCCTCTGCCAAAACTGGACCGACCTCACCTCAACGTGATTAAAGTTTTTTTTTTTGCGCCCTATATGACAAAAAAAAATAAATCAATCACTTTAATGGCGTGCTGTACGTAAAACTGAAATGAAAATTCATCATGATCATTCACACCAACTCACCTGAAAGCTTGGAATGAGGATATAGGATAAGGTTTCGATAATAATAGATGAAGTTTGGAAATGAGAGGTTGCTTATACCACCATTTGTTGGGAGGTTTTTTTTTTTTTGGGGGCAAATTGATGGGAGTTTATGCAAAATAAAAAACAACATTAAATTGTTATGCCAAGTTTTCAATTTCAACACGAGATAAGTACTCTCAACAAATTCGTTATAAAAACATATAAGGATGACAATTTACTATTTTTGAACTTCAACTCAGCAACAAATTTGAAGAGCAAGTCATCGTATTTCTTCAAGATAAACTTAATTTTCATATCTTCACTATCATCATTCTCATGTGATTCATCCAATCTAACTGTGGTTATGAGTGCAACCGTCTTTTCATCATTCTCGAATTCCGATTCACTATCATTCCAAGTTGTATTCGATGCTTTGTTCTTCCCATCATTTTGCTTCTTCAAAGTGTTAGCACATTCAGAAGATATGTGACCATAATCTCTACATTTGAAGCATTTGAATTTTCCTTTTGAATTTTTCTTGCCATTTGACCTGCAAGATTTATAAACAACGTCAGTATTATAAATATTTCTATTTTTCTCAAAATTTATACCTGAGTTGTTTTGCGAGTCTTGATCCTTAGAGTTTCGATTCTTAAAAAAATTCTTGAATTGTCTCAACGTAGCACAATCCATCCTACAATATTCTGGATCTCACTAAGTGTGTCTAGTGATCGGCTCTGAGGCTAATTGAAAATACATGTAGGATGGCTTAAAACACTAAAAGAGTAAAGTCTATGTTTTGAGTAGTCAAGAGTAATACGGTAATACAAATAAAACATGCTTAATGGATTGATACGATGTATCAATCCTCTACAATGCAGAACGTAAAACACAGAAAGTACACAAAATATTTTACGTGGGAAAACCACACCTCTGTGGAGAATCCACTGTACCTGATAGTCGAAGGTAAATCCACTATAGAACGATGATTACAAGACGTACTCATACACTTATCTTATACACATTCTAGATAATGTTTACGTCGTAACTCAACTTTTATCACGAGATGATCTTCGACACTCCTTATGTTGAACGCAATACTGGTCACGATTGCTTCAAGCTCGCCAGAGTTCTTCCAACTCTCTTTATGTTGAATCTGATACTGGTCACGATTGATTCAAGCTCACCGAAGAAAAACCGCCACAATAGTCTTGGTGCCCTCAACCACATGAGTCACCGTACATGCAAATGAATACAATATAAATGATAAAAGTGTGTGATATATCACCAAGTAAACATGGAACACTTGATGATTTATCTCAAATAAAAACGCATCTTTCTTAAATGCTTAAGCACACAAAATTATTATTCGAAAGCTATCTAAAAGAAAACTCAAAACCTTGTTTTTATAGAAGTTTTCTTCACAGGAAGGAACTTATATTTTAAACCAAATCTCCACTTTTCAAGGCTTGGCAAAATCACAATAGAATATTTCCTATTCTAAATGCAAATCATGTGTAAACCAAGCACTCAGGAAAGATGCTTAACAAAGAAGATTTTGACCAATCACAATATCAAATGAATCCTTCTATATTAGGTAAACTATTAATAGCATCTTGTCTTCTTGATATTATGATATAATTGATAAGTAGATTTCTAAGCAACCAAAACAAGTTAGAAAATCAAGGGAATGTTAAAACATGAAAGTCGGAAAATCAAATGATTTGGGTCAAAACTTTCCCTAAAAGAAAAACTCCTAAATGAATTCTAATTGATCTAGAATCAAGGATGATCATGAATTAAAATCATATCAGACGTTAAAAAAAAAGTTCATAGCATGAATGCATGAAAAATGACATGTCTTACCCTTCAGATCAAATGGCCCATATGTGTTAAGTCACAATTCTGGAATTTAGGGATTGCTGAGCTGTTTCAATTCTGTAGTTTTTGGAAATCAGAGACAGCAATTTTGCTTCAACCGTACAACTAATTGACACTTCCAATCCAATACTAAGTTCTAGGAAATACCAACACAACATTAAAATGTTATGCCAAGTTTTCAATTTTCAACACGGGATAAATACTCTCAACAAATTTGCTATAAAAACTAAAAGGATATGAAAATTTGCTTCTCAAGTTTTCTTAGCTTTGTTGAGTTAATATTACAACAGATTCTGTTTTTTCATATGAGAGCGCTTAACTCTCTTACAAAACAGTAGTTAGGAGAATCTTTATCTCTAACAAACTATTTAAGTTTCTACTTCAACGATTCAAACCATATGTATTTCAAGTCTTCATTCAAATATCATTCTTACAAAAAAGTGGGACAAATTAGAAATCATTAAAGCATCTCGTTTTGAGGGACTACCTAAAAAATATACATTGGAATCATTAAAATACAATGAGAAGTGGGTAAATTAATTTGGAAAAAAGTTTGACAGCTTCATAAAATCGGTGAATGCTTAGGGAATGGCTTCAAATTAGTCTTGCTTATTTAAAAAAAATTGTTGAAATTTGGTTTCAAGTGCCTTTTCTTCATATTTAATTATGAACAAGAGTTACCCAAGTACATGAATATATGCAATGGGTGTGTGTAAACACTCTA